AAGGAAAAATAGTAAGAAAAGATAAGTGAGTGACCCATCTCCAAATACCATCTCATTAAGGGTTACAGCTTGATATAGTCTGAATGTTGGTTTCCTTTCAAATTCCTACATTGAATTCCTAACCCTCAATGTGATGTTATTAGAAAGTGGGGTCTTTGAGAGATGATTGGATCATTAGGGTGGATCCCTCACGATTATGATTAGTGTCCTTACAAAAAAGGCCACGGAGAACTAACTACTTCCTTCTACCATGTGAGAACACAGAGTGACAGCACTATATATGACCAGGAAATGGATCTTCCTAGCTACATGGGAAGCATAAAGGAGTTTTGAAGTCCAGAACACCTGGCGAAAAAACACGAGACATTATTTAAAAACACAAAAAACTAAGCAAAAAGGGCTTCAGGCATGGCACAAGTGGTAGAGCACTTTTATAACAAGCACAAGAACCTGTATTCAAGCCCCCAGTACTGCCAAAAAATCTGTTGTTTATAAGCATAGTGCTCAATGTAAAATGCTTTTAAACTTCTTGATTAGTTATCAGCTGATTGCTTCTGAGACTATAGATAGTGGATAAGGTGGTGATCCTGTGATCACCATTGCTATTGCTTTTATGCAACAGCATTACCACGTGTTCTAAGCCTTTTCCTGAGTATTCATTGAGCCTCAACAAAAACTCTTTGAGTAGCTACTACTGCTGCTACCTTTTTACTATTGCTATTACTTGATAAATAAGGAACCTCAGATCCCAGTGAAGATAAAGAAATCAACTAAGCTCACACAACCCATAAAAAGTGAAGCCAGGATCTGGGTCACGCCTGTTTGAATGTAGAGTCCAGCTTGCCGCTGTGCCAAAGTAGAGGGCACTGCATTGTGTAATGGGCATGATATTAAACTAGAATCTATATTCCATACAGAGAGAAATCAGTATGCTTCTGATTCCTCAGTTACAGCACTGAGAGTTATAATAGCTATTTCCTATTTGCCTCACAGGCCTGTTTCAAAGATAAAGTTGTATAAATTCCAAAGTTGTAAGTTCCCTGAAGGAAAATATAAAAATTCAGAGCATAACAATTTATACTAGCTGTGTATGTTTGATGGAAGTATTTATTTATTTTTTCACTTCATCTAGGGATTTCTCAGAAAATTGACCTGCATTGAGGATTTCTAAAGAACAAAAATAGCTATAATAGCCAATTGGCCAAAAGACAGCATAAAGACAGTAACGTTTATCCTACTAAAAATGAAATTAAAACATATCTTTTATAAGTACATCTAAATTAACCACAAAGACAAATATAAAATGCTAGAAAAATTGCATATTAATGATGCATTTAATTATCACTTAGGAATATATAAGTTAACCCCTATTAGATTTAACAGGCAAGCAGGTAGTAAAAGATTATGGCACCAAAGAGTAATTATTTCAGTAATTCAAGGATAGTTAATATTAGTTATTCATTTGGTCAATAATGTCACTCATCATCTGTTGGAGGTGAAAGTTATGAATGATCACCTTTTCAATACACCTGCACTTCCCTCCTGACCTTCACAAGTGAGCATGTGGTACATTCCAATATCTTCTCCCAGTTGGAAGAAAATATCTTTAAGAAGCCAGGAACAGAAAGATGTTTCTTTAATATGACAAGGATTTTATTTTTTAAATGAAGCACTAGCATTACACTTTGTAGTAGAAGACTTTAGACATTAATATGAAAATCAGGAATTAAATAGGGAGCTGATTATTCTTTTACTTAACATTCTCTGAAAGATTGAATAAATGAAAAATATAAAATTATTATAACAGATACAGTTTCTTGTGAGAAGTAACACAATAACTATTTGAAAACAATATTACTATAACTATAAAAATAACTGAAGTAATCAACTGAAAACTTCTAAAACAAATAAAAATGGTTGGATATCAAATACAAAAAATGCAATGTTTACTATTAAAATTAAAATAAATGAATATGAATAATTTTAATATGTGAAATATATGATCTACATAGCTATTATTAACCAGTTAGCTTTAAGATGTAGAAATTTGAATGGAGAAAAGGATCATATTTCTAGGTTGAGGGAGGATAACTGAGTCTTATAAATATGGCAACTCTTCATAAATAGAATTAATGCAATCCCAATCAAAATTGTAGTAAATTTTTTTTGGGGAAAGAATTGAAATAGTGAATAAAAATGTCAAGTAAAATAATATATCAGTATCTCTTTATGAAAAGTAGAATAAAAGGAATGGTGAAGGGCCTTGCTTTGCCACATAAAACCTATTCAATATTGAGGTAAAGAGAACATTATAACAAAAACTAAAAGTAAGTAGAACAGACTAGATGAAATTTAAACATATTATGGATAAAATAAGCTTGCATATTTTCAAATGACATGGGAAAAGAGGAAATGCTACTTGATGAAAATTTCTTTTCTGTAATATATATTTGATGAAAGAGTACTTCCCCATATCACAATAAATTTTAGAAAGATTAGAAAAGTGGATCTAAATCATAAAAATCATGTTGAACATTATGGAATCATAATATAGTTACTGAAAAATATATGTCTGGGTAAGATCATCATGAGAATGAGTGTAATTAGAGAGGCAAATCGCTCAAGGATTGAACTCCTTCTGGGAACACTGCTCTGTACATTGCAGGGTAATGAGGAGAGAAAAGCAAAGAAGGCTGAGAAGGAGCAGCCAGAGAGTTTAAAATCCTCAGAATGCCATGGCTGGGGAAATAAACTAAGCAAGGACTTTTAAGAAGAATGGTGATTCGCAGGGGCAAAGGCTGCTGCCAGGTAAGTACAATATAGAGTAGGTGGCTGAGTTAGTGTTGGAAAAGTGGTGGAGATAGAAAGCCAGATTTTAGTAATTAAAAGGAGAATGGACAGAGATAAATTGTGGACAGTTTGTAGACAACACTTCAGTGATGGATAAGAAGTAGTAATGGCTAGAAAGGAAATGAAGTGAAAAGACTTTGGGCTTTTATTTTCAAGAGAGAGTAAGAGGGAGAGGAGATTAGCCTGAGTGATGTCCTTGAGTGGGCGAGAGAGGAGAAAGCTAGGACTTATATGGAAGACTTAGTCATTTCCAGAAAGAATAATTGATCTAAAGCAAGAAATAAGTCAGAAAAATAGGGCACAGATGCAGACAGAGGGGTGCATGAGGCAGTAGGAGCTTGTGTTTCCTCCTTCTGGTTGCTTCTAAAGAAGCAACAACTGAGTTAGGATAGGGAAAGGTGGGAGGAGAGCTTTTGGTTTCAGGAAGGAGGAAAAAAAAATTCATCCAGGAATGTCTGGACCAGAGAAAACTGCCGACATTGCAAAGCAGCACAAAGGGTACATTTAGGAGAGCAATCAAGACTTTAAGGTGAGACTAGATGACCCATTACTCTTTCTATAGCTTCATTTGGCTTAGAAGACACAGGTATAAGGGAGGTAGAGAGAGGGATTTAATGAGTGGCTGGAGTAAACTGAGTAGTGATAATTGAGGAGGCAGTGATGCCAATGAAGGGTCATGGATATTAAGTTGCTTTAAAGGTGAGGGCATGAGAGATACAAGGTGTGAGCATCGATAGTAAGGTTAAAAATGTTGAGGCAGTAAGTGAACAGAAGAAAAATCAGATGGTCATCAAAGAATCAGAAATTCAAAATGAAACTGCAGAGTCACAAGAGATTGAGAGATGAGGGTGTGGAGGAGTTAACTTTATGCACATTGATATCACCAATGGCAACTGTAATGCTGGAGATGGGAAATGATACAGAGGAAAATTCTTAGGGAATAAAGGGGGAGATGTGGGGATTAAAGTTGTAAACAACTTTAATTGGCAGGTGTAGTGGGCCAAGAGATGGGGCATGAGATTCAAAGCTGGGTAGTGTTGTGTAGGAAAAAAGGAGGATGACATGAAACTAGCAGCCAGGAGTGGGGACACCTGTCTTAACTTCGGGCTTAGGGGAATGAAAAGAGTGACAGTAAACGATGACTATTACTTAAGAGGACTGTGGGGATGGTGTCCTGCAAAGGGAGAGCAGGTTTCTATTTAAGCAAGGGGAAGAAGCAAGAGTGGAAGACACAAATTACTGAGGGGATTTTGTTGAAGTCTGACCACAAGTTCCACAAAGCTCATGGGACAGTTTCAGGAGATGAGAGGTAAGAGATGGGGTTAGCAAGTCATCCAGAGCTCTGTGGAGGTTAGAGTTCAGGGGAAGAGTGGTGACAGAGGAAACCTGTTCTTATGGTGTCTAAAATAAAGGGTGAAAGACATAAGAATCCTGGTTGCTCTAAATCCAACAGTGGTCGTAGAGAATTCTGAGTATTAGCAGGAAGATTAAAAATTAAGAGCCGTCTCAATTCTAAAGAAAATGGGTAAATTATGAGATATCCAATCAAAGATTTTAAAGAATAACTAACAATAAAATATGTTCATGATAGGCAAATTTAAAAGACAGAACATAAAATGGCAGCTACATTTTAGTTATGTCTTATTTGTAAATGTGCATAAAATTAGGAATTACTTAAAGTATTAAATTTCTATCTTAAATTTTGGGTGACTTTTAAAAAAATACTTTCATTTATTTACATGAACCCAGGGGCTTGTTCATGATAGGCAAGCAGTCTACCACTGAGTTACAACCTGAACCCTCATCAATACTTTTGTTTTTTTAAATTTCCAAGCTTCTTACAAAAACCCTTTTTTTTACTTATATATAGAAAAGAAAACCTTATGTAAGTTTTAGATAGTTGTGTCCTCCATTGCTGATCTAAGGTGTTATTCTATTTCTTGACGTTAACAGTGGCTTTTCCAGTTATCATTTTTCATTGCTTTTTAAAATGTAGAATATGGTGAATGTCTTTTTTTCCTACATGTTTTATTTCACACATAGACTACTATGTCTGTGGATTCACTGGCTTCTATATGCAGCATCTATCTGAGCATGTGTAAAGAGAAATGAACATATGGACCTTGTCCAAGAGAGACTCAGGTACTTACCTGGCATACGGATGTTTCGGGGTCACACAGGTTGCTGTGTTCATTGCACTGACATGGAACACAGGTGCCCAGGGTTGGTCCAGGGGTGTGGTCACCTGGTTCAGAGCGCAGTCGATAAAATCCTGGCAAGCATGTCTGGAAGAAAAGGAAGCCAATTAGGACAGCAGAGTTAGAAATCTTGCTTCAGCAACCCTTAAGTTCTTCAGTGGTTATAAAGACAGACTTCCTTCCTCCATGTGTTTTAGGGGCAACACTATTTTCAAACACCAGTGTAGATTTTGATAGCTTATACATATTTCTGCTGCGTTCTTATTCTGCCACAGTGGCAGGCAGCATCCATGGAATCAGATTTTAGCCAAGCAAAGCTTTCATTTGAATTGACAGCTTTTAGCCTGAAAAAAGCTTCACATGATCTTTTTTTTCTCCTTGAGAAACAGGTTTATTTTTAATTAACATTATCATATGCACTAACGAGAAAATTCCAATGTTCTTGACAGCCTAAAATCTGCTTCTTCTGTGTTTGATGGATAGTTACAAATATCCAAGGAAATTTAAATAAATAAAAAATATCATGGATGCATTATTTATCTTGGTATAACTTAAAGACAATAAAAGGAAGAAATTCAAAATAATAAAAGCCCTGCATGTCTGGAGATTATGAAGTCACCAATAAAATTTATCTTTCCCTGATCTAGGGTGGTTTTTTTTTCATTTTGTCATAAAAATCTGATAGCCAACAGAAAATTGCTAGTGAAGCTGACATAAGCAAAATCAGGACTTGCATCTTCATTCAGGTTTATTATATGACTATGTCAAAAGCTTCTCTGGCTTTCTGGAAGGAAGGTCACATCTCTAGAGGAGACTGTCTTGAATTCTTCTATGCAAGACATTTTCAGACATTGCTTGATTTTGGATTAAGAGGTAGGATCAGTTTTTCAGATGCCACTAGAGATTATATAGGGACTATTTTACCATCTTGGCAAAGAAAGATTTCTTTTTTCACTTAAAAATTTCACTCTCATTGATGAAAGAAAAATGATCGTGAATAAGTAGGAACAACATGTTATATTAGGAACTTCTAAATGCCTCCATATACTTTCAGCTCTGGCCTAAGTAGTCCAGTGTAGAATAAAGAGAAGTTCCTTAGAAAGAGAAAAACGTCAATACTGAGCACTCTCCCCTGTTTATTTTGATTTGTTTCATGTATACTTCAATTAAGCACTTAATTAAGAGTCTCTCTGCTTTTATCAGCCTATAAGAAATTCTAATGGGATTTAATAGTGACCCAGCTGTAAGTCAACTGATAAAGAAAACTGAGAATAGTGTTGAAAGCATTTTACATCTCACTTGTGGTAGACTCACTCATGTAATTTAATAAAATCTATTCATACAACTTAAAATCAAGGCTCATTTCTAGCATTGTTATAGAATAAAGTCTAGAAATTATAGATGAGAAATTCATTTAAGCATTACTTCAGAAACAGTCCAAGGTATACGTAAAAGTGGTACACAGTGTGGGTTGTTACAATTCCTTAGCATGTGATTGAATAAAGTAGAATTTTGTTTGCACAGACTTCATCCTTGATTATCTAAGTACTGTCTTATTGGTATATTTTCTCATGGTCTGTCTCTGTGTGTGTTTGTGTGTGGGTGTGTGCAGAAATTACACAAATTGAGAGGATGTTCCTACCTCCCGTTTATATCTCAAAACAGAATTTTAAAATGAGTCTTAGAAGAATAAAGTTAACAGACAATACTCCTCATTGAGGAACTATAGGTAGCTCAGTGTCATAGACTAAATGTGCAGGTGAACACTAAAGTGATGCTTACTGTCGCACACAATTTTTTCTATTGTTGTGCCTCTTTCCTGAACAGGTAGGACCATGCACTTGTAGTAGGTGTTCACACTGAACTCTATGTAGAATTTTCTGGGCCTTTCCCCATCCATAATCCCAGCTACAAGAAGGCAGAGGTAGGAGGATTGCAGTCTGAGTCTAGCCCAGGGTAAAAGCATGAGACCCTATCTAAAAAGTAACTAAAGCACAAAGGGCTGGGTACATGGCTCAAGTAGTAGAACACTTGCCCAGCAAGTATGATACCATGAGTTTAAACTGCAGTACCAGAAAAAAACCCTAAATAAATAAATTTAAATAAATAAATAAGAAGTCATATAGAATCTTTGGTATAGTGACATAATGGACCTAATGAATATGGAAACTATGGTTTTAATAGTTTTTTCTGAGGGATGTGGGCAAGTTATTGTCTTTGAGACACAATTCCCCCATCCTACAAATGTGTGTTAACTGAGATGATTTCTGAAGTTTCTTTCTAACATTTTAGATTAATTTTGTGTCCTGGTGGATTGAATTTTCTTTGAATTAGCAAAGAAAAAGAGACTATTCCACAATGGAAGAATTATAAACATAAAACACACTTAAAAAAACAATGGGACTCTTTTTTTCCTTTTTAATCTCCTCCATTTCTTGATCCTTTTGTATTTATTCCTTCCATTCTTGTTTGAGGATGTTTTTCAGTATGAGATGTTTCTTCTCAGTGAACCAGTGCAAAATTCATGAAAATGAACAGGTTTGAATTGGGACAAAAAAAGAGCAACTTTTAAAAGCCTCATTTAAAATTCTTTCTGGAACACAATGAGAAGTAAAGAAAAGCAAATAAATAAGCCTTTTCTGAATTAATTTTATCCATTCTATTCCCTCTAACTCAAACTTTCCCAAAGTTCTCTTTCCATGTCCTGAAATCATGCGTAACTCAATTTTCTTCTGTTCTCCATCCACATTTACTTTCATGACATGATGTCTTTTCAAAACATTAGAATGAAATTTGTACAAAAATGTGGGAGGGTAGAGAGAAGAGAATGAAACACAAGAATGGAAAGCCACAAACCTCAGAGTTGCACAACACACTCCTTTCTTCCCTCAAGGTCAACAATAAAAACAGACACTTGTGCCAGAGCCAGCAAAAACCCTCTGTCTTGCATTTTTGCATGGACTTCACAACCAGGCAAATAGGATTTTGTTCTACCACTTGCTACATCCGATGTGTGCAGGGTTTGAACACTGCAGGCCTCAGCTTCCTTGCTTGGAACACAAGGATCTTGTGTACCATAATACTTGAGTGTAAGTTTGTCTGCTTTTTGGAAAAACAGGTTTATATGGGTTGAAATTGCAGTTCTGGTGCTGCCTAGATACGTGACTGTGGGCAAGTTCCTTAACCTCAACCTCTTCCTCTATAAGATGGAGATAATAAATCATACTCAGTGATGATGGCACTACACTATTAGGGGATGTGCATGAGGTTGTGCAGAAAACAGTAAGTAAGTAACTTACAAAAAGTAAGTTTTTGTGTACAGATGTTGTGAGGATTAACTGACATACATAACTGATGTTTGACATGCAATAAATCAATATAGGTGCCTTCATCACAGATAAAATTTAGATGTGTCATTGTTGAGGATAAACTAAAAATAAAGGCAATCATGATTATTCAAAATTATGCTGAGAAGGAAAATCACAATGTATGACACATTCCTCTATGTTTGCATATGATATCTTAACTGCCGTTCTTGTGTAAGTACTCTATGATGCTTGCATATGATGAAAATCCCTAATGACACAGTTCTTAGAATTTGTTTCCATCATTAAGCACCACATGACTGTACATGGAAACAGAGTTTTTGGGTCTCCCATGTGCAACTGAAGTAATAAAGGGTATGTTAAACGGTTTGCAGGTGTAAGGAGACAACTCTATTCCCGCATTCTTCTTTTTGGGCTTTATGACTTGACAGTAGGAAAAAATTAGAGGTTTAAAAAAATCAGCCAAATGACAGAATCTGAGTGGCGATCCAGTAGTTAAAGCCACTGAATGTGAGCTAGAAGCCCCATTAAAACTTGGGAAGTGGAGTTAAGAAGCTGGAACTATCAAGCATGACCTGGAGAAAATTGGAAATTTCTGATTTCTAATATATTATTACAGAAAAACCATATTCAATGCTGAATATTTTCTATTTTTAAGAAAGAAAAAAATATGAATGGTATTTGCATAAACTGAGTTTGTGTTTATTTAGGCAGTGACCTAAACCTAACCCAACCAGAAGAACAGATTAAGTAGTATAAATTCAATGGGTCTGACAACAACAAATCTAGTGAGGAAACAGTGTCCTTTACTTGACTTTATTTCAAATCATAAATTGCAATAATTAGGCATTTTGAAAGCTAAAATTTTTAATGAACTGCAGTGTTATAACTCTACAGTAATGGACAAAGGCTGAGTGTCTCTATAATTGGCTATATTTTAGTGGCAACCAATACTTAATTTTGTCTACCTGAATTCACGTTTTGAGCAAAACCATGAAATGAATAGGCTATAATTACAGATGGCTCTAGAATACCATGTATTTGGTGAAAATATTGTAAACAAATTGTTTTGTGCATTCATGACCCAAAACATATGTAACTGGAATGGCATGTATTATTTCAAAACTGTCCTTAGTTCTTGTTTTAATGATCAGGTTTTTATGCCTGGGTAATTACACTTTAGAATCAAGATGAATTATAAATAAGATATCTAGTGGATTAGAGGCAATGGGTTGTGGAGAACACCTCAGGCACCCTATTATGAGAGATAAGCTTTTATCTCCATAATCTCTCTACTAAGACATTACTGTAATTATTGTCTGTTAATAGGGGTTTAAGTGAAATTCACAGGACATAGGCAAAGCCACAAGTAGAGATGATTATTTATATATTCCTAGTCTTTCTTGATTTCCTTATTTATCCTTTGCTTTATTTGTGCTATTTTATATTTTCATATAAGTAGAAATTGATAAAAATTAATGCAAAAGTATATTTTAGAATATGCTATTTGGAAAGTCTATTGGTCACATTAAGAAGCATTTTTAATATCTAAAATATGCAATAGAATGTGGATTGCATTAAAAGAATTTTATTCTATATTGACATTTTTGTCATTAAGTGAACAGTTTTGTTTTAAGTAAATGCAGAAGAACAGAGCAGTAATAACTTTCTCTTCAAGATATCTAAAGGTCAACCTTAACTACTAACTGAATATCTTCTACAGGAAAATATTGCTGAATCAGAGAATTTCAGAACTTCAAAAGCCAACCTGTCATTTTGTAGACTGGATAACAATATAGTAACTATGACCTATAGCAATTAAGGGAACAGACCAATGTCACACAGTTAGTCAGCAGTACAGCCATACACTCCTTGGGATAAGTAAAATTTCATCTCTTGTCCAGAAAACTATCAACTTCTTTCTGTCCTTTTGAAATGTTCTCTGCTCACTGGAAAGTTGGCATATTATATGTGCATCAGTTCATTTTTCACCCATGCACTGTATGTGCTTGTGCAGATTTAGAAGGGTTGTGTATATAAATGTGTACATATATGCATACATACAGTTACTGGTGTGTATGAAATGTATAAAATAGATGTCTGTAGGGGATATGATTTAATAATGAGATGGATTATTTCATTACATATTAAGTAAAAATGATATATTTAAATGAATATTACCCTGAGAGCAGAAGCAAAAAAAGCTATAAAATCCTTTCAAAGATGCTTCACAGATATTTGAGTTACCCTATGTAATTGTTCTCTAAACAATGTGGAGTGGTAGGGACTTTCCTACATATCTTTTTACCTAAATTAATCCTCATGATGGTTCCATAGGTAAGACCAGGGATTCAGCAACAAGCAAGAGCAAATGCCCTATCCAAACAGTTAGGATTCACCAAAATCAAGTTTATTTTTCTTTTCATTAGGCCATCCACATCTCAGGAAACTTAGGTTCAATATTTTCAAGTTGTACTTTAGTTTTGAACTAGTATCATCATTGAGCTCACATGCCATGTTTCACAAAACTTCCTAAATCCTATCTACAAAGTAAGATGTATAAACTTATTCATAAGTAAGTCAGCACATGGATATGTAGCTAGTTATTACACTAATAACAATATAAGCCCCAACAACTAACACTGACTGTGTGCCAGGCCCTGTCATGAGTCCTTAAGGCTCATAGCACAGTCTTCTTAAGATTCTTAGGCTATGGAGTGGGAGATATTGATAATATCTGATTGCTAGGCCATGGACACTAACCAGTGTGACTAATGAGAAGGAATCTGGATTGTCATTAGGTTGCAGCAGGTCCCAGAGGCCCCTGCCTGGTCAGATGTTAGACTTGAAGTCTGCAAATAGGGCTCGATACAGTGGCAGCTGCTCAAGGACTTGGGTATTTACCCTTTCCAGTGTAAAGAGCTTAACAGCCTGACCAAGGTCTTAGTCCTAGTATATGGTAAAGTTGAGGTTTAAACCTAGGACAGGTCTTCATTCATTACACTTTCTCAATATTATCCTATTCCTATTAATAGTTAATACTCATAGAAATTGAGTTGACTACAGAAGATGAAGCCCTGGAAAATTTGCCAGGTCTGAAGATCCTCAAAGGAATATTCCAGAAAGTTAAAACCAGCAGTTTTAAAAATATAATGACTGAAAGATGGTAGCACTGTTGGAATAAACTTATGTCCTTCTGAGAAGCTTATGTTACAGAACAACCTGGTACTTACTGCATAAGTTTTTTTTCATGTTCTATATAAAAACACTTTCAAAACTCAATATAATCGTGTGTCATAATCACAGCAATTTAAATGCCTCTAACTGTTCAGAAATGGTGCCAAGAAAATAGATCAGGTATAATAATAGATGATTCTCTTGAAAATATTGTCATTTCCTGGTTGTTCCATATTTTAAAAAATCTTTTAATATTCATCAGATGTTGCCTTTCTGTTGGGATTCATATCACGAGGTAACAATAACATCGTCTTCTTGTTACTGTGCCTCCTCTCTCACATCGTGAAATCAAATAGATTAAGAATGTGTATGAAAGTCACACTGAACATAGCAAAGGTGCTGCTGGGAGTATTTCCGTTTGACTCCTGAAATGAGTTGAGGTTAGGGCTAGCAGCAGTTAGCTTACCTCACAGGATAAGCCAGAGTAGCCCGGGGGACAGTCACATTTTTCTATCAAGTGAGCTGGAGGAGTTGTTGCTGTTATGTGTCCTAGTTCAGCTACCTCCATGGAGATTTCAGAAATCCTGCAAACAGCAAACACTTATGAGATGATGACACCAACCAGTTAAGATCACTTGGCAAACACTCAACACCACAAGAAGAATCCTCTAGGATCTTCATCAACCTCAAGTATGTTCTATTATTAACAAAAAAAGGATGAATAATAATTTGTAATTGACAAATAATAATTGTATATATTAATCCAAATAAAAACATGCTATTTTGACATATGAGCATATTGTGGAAAGATTAAATCGAAACTAATAACTATATCGTTTTGAGGCTGCGTAAGTTTCAGGGGGCTCACGTGTCACATTTTACAACCATATTTTTGCTTTCTCCAAGATTGAGACTACAAATTAGCAAAATACCCACACAAATCATAAAGAGTTTAGTGAACTGAATGTCTGCTATCCTGTGGAGAAGTTATTATAATGATTTTCCTCCACTTTTTAAAATGTGAGTGGCTTCCGATAGACATGGCCAATTAATTAGACATTTATGTTCTCCCAAACAGACAACTCAAGGTCACTCCATTAGAATATCTCCTGTAGTCATTAGTGAGGCTGTTTTTAATTTACTACAATCCTTAATTTCTTCCTCTTGAGTCTCTGAATGACCTTTCAAGAACTATAGAAAGCCACCTAGGATACACTGACTGAGCGTGATCTAATAATATTGATCTTTCTGAAGCTAAAGAGCCTTTCAAATTAATATTCTACTAACATTATTAAATTCCTCAAGTAACTTAACTCACCCTTCCTATTGGCGGAAGAGTCCTTTATGATTGAAAAAGAATATTCACAGTGAAACGGATACTCTTTCATTAATTTGAAATTATACATTAAAATATATGCAGTCCATAAACTGAGGTTATTTCATGACTGACTAACTGGCAACATGAAATGTTCTGCAAATAAACTTTAAAATGAGACATGAATAGTTTTGTTTTGATAAAAGTCACCTCCAATCGTTTAATGAGGTTGAATCATAAACTTTATAGCAAGCAGAGGTAAGTTTTATTGAATTAAGAATGCACGTTCTAGTTTCACTACCACTGTAATCTGCACCAGGAAGATCATCCAGGCTTTACAAAACATACTTTCTGCTGACATTGGGTTCACTCTCCCTTCCTTAGAGTACACATAGTGATAATGAGCTGTGAACAGGCCACTCCTCTCTGATAAGAAAGACCCCATTCTTCTGCTCCCTCAGGACCCTGTGGGAGCCAAAGTGGTAGCTTTGTGTTTGTTGACAAGCCCTCTTGCTACTGAGACCTCCATGGTATTTTACAGCCATAGAAACAGCGAGCATCATCTTGCCTTCTCCCTCATGCACAAAACAGATCAGCAACTGTTTGAAATGTAAGTGACTCTTGAATGGTGGCAATAACAGATACTTCTGCAATGCATAATTTTTGTCAGAGAACTCTAAAGAGTACCAGGAGGATGGGAAGGTGGAGGGGTGGGATGGTTAGCTGAGCAAAGTTTTGCTTGCACCAGAAATATGGCTTCTACTTAAATGAATATTGAATTGTAGAAGTTACTTCTTTCAGACAAAGGTAAAAGAGGACAAAAACAAAGAAAAATGAAAATGCTAGCCTTGGACAAACTCTGAATTCCAAACCACATGTATAGTTCTCAAACTCTGCTTCGAAGATTTGTTAAAATCTGCACCGTAATAAAGAATTTGGGGTCAAGCCACATTTGGGGGAGAACAGTCAAACATTTTAAAATCTTTGTCATAATTCCACTGTCATAAAATCAAGTGTTGATGATCTGCCTTATTTGTTCTTATTGGTAGACTATGACTCCAGTTTTTGTGGTTTAGAAAAAATGAATTTTTTTGTTTCAGAAAATGGTCACTTAAACCAAAGGATTTCATTTAGTGCGGTATGTGAAAGAGTGCCAAAAGGAAGAAACATATGGGAAAAATGACAAAGTGTCAGCGTAGGAGGGTGAAATTAGTGAGAGAGGCAAAGAAGATATAATGAAAAATGAGTGACAACATTCTTTCTATCAATTCCACTAACAAAATGTGCTATGAACTACCAAACTCTTACTGTAGCTAAGAAGAATTTGCATAATAATGTATTTGAATATCTATGATATGCAAATCTGCTGTGGCTTCTACCACATAATATACATTTGTTATTCTAAAATAATTAATAATATAGCTGACAGCATTTTTCAGTACATAGTTTTTATTATTTCATATAAAAATAATGCTACAGTGAGGAATATGATAAGGACATTGAAGGAATAAAGATTAGAAAGTGAATTTTGCTCCTTGATTTACTCTTTACCAAAACTCTAAATCAGTCAAAAAGCCATGACTCTTCTGCATGAAATAAAAGGATTTTCTGTTATATGATGTGTTTAAAACAGTACAAATGCTTGAAATATGGGATTTTTAGATTCATTAGCTCAACAATAAGAGGATTCATAATTTTTCATTTTGTTTTCTTGACCTGGTTTACTAATTTTTAAAAACATATATTGATTCCATATTCTTACAGAATATAATAGAAAAGCACATGAAAAGGAAACTGCTGAATCCAGCTTAATTTATGGTATGCTATGATATCTGTGCTATGATGGTTACCCACACATGTGTTATTTCTCATTTCATCTCATTAAGTAAATTCCTTCTACTGAAGAACAGATCGCACGTGCTCGAGTGGTTAAAGTCTCCTTCTTCCTCGTTATACTCTCTTCATTCTGTATTTTAAATATTTTCTTTGCTTTCTCATAATCTATAAATATACACACTTCTCCTTCAAATTAAATACCCATCCCTTGACTTTTGACGTTATGTTATTCCTTCCTTTTATAATCATGGAAAATAATAGTGCATACTTACAATATGAGGTTCATTGTGACCCATTTGTTCTTTAAGACCTTGAGATTATCTCTGCCTGAGACTCGAGGCAGAAACTGGTATTATGAGTTATCAGTGTGGTCTTAAGTGTCAGTCTCAATAAGCCTCATTTTAATTGGCCTCTTTGCGTCATGTGAAACCACTGGATCCTTCCTTGAGGGAACCCATGGTTGGCTTCCACAATACCACATGCATAACTGCTGTTCTTCTGTGTCTCTCTTCTTTTTTTAAAATTTGCACTATGATTCTCAACTGTTTCACATCATGACACTTAGGGGTAGATGATTATCTTATTTGCTACAACTGGGGTGACCAGAGGGAAAGCTCATGGTTGGAAGAGACTGGATCAACTTGACCCTGCCTGCCTCCCCTGATATGTGAAGGAAGTCACTTTCTCAGTAATCTTGTAACACACTTATAGCACTATAGTTAATTGCACTGACTTACAGTAGACATTTTCCTGAATTTTTGACTTCCATCTTACATTTCAAATGTCTGTAGTGAATTCAATATTTTCCTCTTCATTTTGCTTCTTGTGTTAGTTTCCTTTTTTGGTGAGTGACAGTAACTTCTTTCACGCTGCTCAGAAGTCACCCTTGGCTTGCCTTTTATCATGACACATACAAAACCAGCCACTTTTAAATCTTACCTGATGTCTTACTAATCTTCTCTACAGATCCAAGAACAAGACCTATCCTAGCTTACCTGCTTTGTCGTATGATATTTCCATAAGTAGCCTTGATAAGAATATAATGAATATCATATAGTACGTCCAAGAAGTCCTCACGAGTCACGGTTCTGCTGATTCGAGGATCATCACCATAATATTTCCATTCTTTCTGTTAACAGGATAAGAAACACTCTGACAAAACTGAATGCAAAACTGTTGGCATCTTTGCCCCAAACAACTCGTAACTTTACCTCTGTCATTTCAATTTCATGCCTTGTGAGTTGGCCAATGAGAGGTGCAGCCATATGCCTGATGATAACTCTAGCATGAGTAGGAGCCCCTCCTCGAATGATGACTTGAGGTTTATACGTAGAGAAGCCTGTCTCTTCCCGAGCCTCAAAGTAGATTGTGTACTTGAGCTTGCCTCCATAGGCCATCAACTGACAAAAAAAAAATGAGAGTGATGATTTAGGTAAATCTCCAAATGGCCTCATTCCAAAAGCACATTTTAGTTTGTTCTCATGGGACTTCGGAGTTCATCTTACCTTCTTTCCTTCGAATTGTTCTGGGAGTTTCCAATAAAAAGGTTCCAAATGAAGGTCTTGTCTGACCCGATCCATGTCTGCAACAATCTCAGGATGTTGAAAAGCAATGCCTTTAGTAGTTGTATGTTGCAGTGCCTCGTCCACCAAAGGGAGAACAGTCTGTTCAGCCGTCAGGGTCACCTGTGTGGGGCCAAAATACAGCTGAAAGCTGAGGTGAAGTCTCATGTTTCCTTTTAAAGTCAAGTTATGGACTGAACATCTGTCTGCAGTGCCTCTCTCCATTTGGCTGATGTGTTCTGAGAAGAATGAGGACTAGCACATGGTGGGTGAGTATGGTAGGGGAGAAATCCTTTAAACTACTCTACATGGTGAAAACCACAGTATCTGAACATTGAAATCTTTTATACTAATAAAAGTAGAACTCAAAAGTAGGGAAAATTAAAGTAAAAATGATCATGTGCCCATCAGGAAAATGGATGACCACCCAAACCTGGTTGGCATAAATGCGACAAGTTTTGGTTTCTATTGTTGAGTGAGTTCATCTCAACATTCATGCTCTGCTGCCCTTTTTCCTCAGAATGCAGCTACATCCCATGTCAAAACACAATGCCTCCCTGCCAATGTTTCTGATTTTTACTTGGCATCTAGTTCCTTATCAACAATAAATGAACTCTATTTAAGGAAGAATTTTCAAAAAGCATTTATTCCCATTGCCTAATGGCACATGGCACCATTTCTGATTGTGCACAGGGGAGAAGGTGACTTAAATGTTTTGGCATTTCTTACGACTTCTCAGTGCCCAACTAAAGATGCTTGCAGGGACTAGCATTAGACCATTTCATGGCTCAGCAGCTTCTACTCACCCACGTACGGATCAGCCCCTTTGCTTCAGAGCACTGATGAATGACGCCAAAGCAATAGCAGTTGCTACAGCCATGTGGGTTCCTGGCATCGAGTCCAAATTTGCCAGGTCGGCACCTGTCGCAGTGGATGCCCTCCACGTTCACCTGAAGAAAGAAGAGGGTCTATCAGAGGTAATCATAGCAAAGTTAAGGGGGAAATCAAGTTAAAAATAAATATTAGGAACCCATTTCTTTGTAAAACAAGAGAACACTGAGTTTTAGAGTCACACCTCAGATGGCACCTACAGTTAACCTCACTGTCTGGATTTCGTGGGTTTTAAAAAGTGCTTTATTTATAAATGCAGTACTATATATTGTGCTTTAAATCAAAATGACACATTTCTTACAGTTCTTCAGTGAGAAGTATGAAACACTCATGAGAATTTCCAAAGCAAAATAAAAACATTGATTCCTAGACAGTGGTGTTATGCCAAGTGGTAAAAAGCAGGCAGGAGATTAACCTATACGTTTGTATAATTGCTATAATATGTATACACATAATTTCACATGTAGTAAATACATAGCTGTGATTATAATGGGTAATAGTGCAGCATTGTACTTTGTTTTGACAGGAGTCCATGGCAAACACTATCGTTTTTCTAAATCCTCAAGACTTTATTAACAACCACTCCTCAGATTTTGTCCGTCTGTTTCTTCTGGCTTTCTTTATAGAAACCATTTTATCTTGAAAAGATAATTCTGACACAGTTTTTGCTTCATTTATCCTGGGACCAATTTTTCAGAAATATATAAGGGGAAAAATCTCTCTTATCCTTTTTAATTGGCTGTTTTTCTATGTCATTTAACAATATTAATGAGGGCTGAAATTTGCACACAGTCACTGTTTATAAAGTCAGTGTTTATATGTGATGAGATTTTACTGAACTTTCACAGCAGTAAACATGTTTTTCAGTGTACAGTGACTGCAGATTAGCATTAAGAGAAATGGATTTTTTTATAAGCTTTATTATTTTGCTGTGATTTTCTCTGATGGTGCTTAAATGAACAATCTTCCACCCCACCCTACAGATTATTCTTGTTTAAGCAAAGGAAATAGATAAAGGAAAATAATTTCACTTTACAACTGAAAAAGCATTATCTCTACCAACTAGAAAAACAGTTGGGTTTGGGTTGAAAATAAGTTCTTGAAAAGCAGAGCTTATCTGTATGCCAACGAACATACAGCCGTGAAAACTCTGTGACTGGCAAAGTGCTTTTGTTTATGAAGTTTAATGAAGCAGGAATAATGAACATGGAATGAAGTTACAGCTGAGCAATGGAATCACAAGTGAATGAGAGTTTTCTTTGCTGCATTTCAGTAGTACATACCTTACAAGTACACTGCCCAGTTTGATCCCTACAGGAACATTTTTTAGTCTCTGAATTGCAGGTTGTGGCATCTGTCCCCGGCAGGAAGCAGTCACAGAGACTGCAGTGAGGGTAGTTCCAGTGCCCTTGATTGCACTCTGTACATTTTGCACCAGAGAATTTTGGATGACAATTGCACTGGCCTGTATTTACATTGCATTGGAAATCCAAGGATCCCACTGTGCTGCAGTTACAAGCCTATGGAGGAGAGAAAAACAGCAACTATTAACATAGCTTTACAGGAAACATCTTAAAATTTTAATCCTAATGTTTCTAGGGTTCATTAAACACGTATTAATCACATATTTATTATATGCTTTTACTATTTTAGGTTGATCCCTTGGGACACATCAGTGAACATAACCATTAAAATTGCTTCCTGCATTTAGGAAAATATATGATTGCCCAGAAACCATAATGCTATGTGAATAAGAAAGAAAATCTGTTTCTTATTATCGGGAGGAGTTAAATATGGGTCTCCTTCAAATACTTTAGACAAGCTCATCATGCCTTATCATGTTATTAGTGTACCGTTTAAATTCTATGCAGACATACTTTAAGTCTAGTGGAGGGAGATCAGTAAACATGGAAACATAGCACTGTGGAATGGGTAGGCACTGTATCATGGGAGAAGTACAAAATGCTATGAGAACAGATAAGGAGAAGCACCTTAGCTGAGCAACAACATAGACTTTTTGGTTTTTTTTTTTAATGTCTAGTTTTGCAGACAACCCTGATATGAGGTACTTTGCTATTTTTGTTGTTGCTGTTCACCTTAGGTTACACTTGATTTTCGCTTTACTATGTACTGCAAATTTCTGCTAGAATTTTTAGAAATTTGGTTTTTTTTTCATTTATTTACTGAAACATGGTGAGTTCTTTCAATTTAGGAACATAAATGGATTTTTAAACTTATATCTGAATCCATTTATTCATGTTTGTCTGATTTTTGTATCATTTTATCAATTTTATTCTTTAGGATCGACCTAAAGTAGGTCACTCTTTCTGACTACCCAATCTGAATATCTTCTCTAAAGTTTCTCTTTGTGTTACCTTTCTTGCTGTATTTATGTCTCAAATTTGTTCTCCATTTTGCAACTCCCATTTTACAGTCAAAATTCTATGATACATATATATTATATACATACCACCAGTGCATATTTTAATTACACTATTGCAGTTTATCTTCTGTTGAATAATTTCCTTACTTCATATCACTCATTTTTAATTTTTACTCATCCAGTTCTTTTTGTCCTCTTCTTTTAAGAGTTTAAGACTCTTGATTTACAAGAGCTCAGACCATCTTGAAATTTAATGGCAGTGAAAAGTGGTTACCTAACATGTAATTTAGAATCTTTGAGCCAATCATTTTCAGAGGACAGGTGTGTCAGTTACCAACCAGAGACTCTGAACTCCCAATCCATCCTGCTTTGTGACACTGTAATGAGACACTATAAATGTTTCTTTATGGGCAGGTGGTGAAATGATAAGATTAGTCAACAGAGGACTCTGGAAGGACCATATGAGGCCAAAGTGATGTGTCCAAGATATTTGCAATATGGCTTCTTTTTCTTCATTAGTTTTATTATTTTATTACTTAGCACAGGAGCCCAGAGACAAGAGAGTCACACTGTGCCTTCAGGTTACTCTTTCCCCATAGTCTCCTTTTCAAATAGCTTCCGTCTGTATCATGCAGTCTGACTATGATAATGTTTCTATGTAGATCCTTTATGTCTGCATCTTCCAAAGATGGTAGACAGGTCTTATATACCAGCACTTGTCCACAAGCTGGCCACACTTCACCACTAGCAGGCTATGTTCCTGTGGTAACCACACCCTCTTCAAAGACATGAGAATGTTGTCCTTGTTGGGGTCAGAGAAGGTGTGTGTCCTCTCCCAGCCGTTACCTTCTTTACTGTTTACCCTGTCTCAGTTTAGAGGTGGTAGCTGCTCTTTTGTACCTGCTATTCCAGGATCCTTTATAGCTCTTTTATCCTTTTCAATAACTACCTTTTGCCAGTAAACAATTCTTTATATTCAGCTTTCCCTGTTTAAATAAACTGTGTGGGGTCTGATTTGGTACCCAAGTTGCATCATCTCTCTCTGTGTCTGAGTTTGCCAACACATGTTGTTTTTACTTTGTCTGTGTCCTCACTTTTTTGGTCCAGTCCTATTATTTTTTTCAGAGCTCTAGCTCTGTGGCAGATTGTATGTGAAACCAAGTCTGGCTCCGATTTCATTGCTGAACTTAATTCTTACATCCACCCCTCCCAAGGTTATTCCATACTTTACTGATGAGACTATTCTTTCTAGAATGTGATATGTAATAGCCAACGTCTTTTCCTTTCCAAATGTTTGGTGAAAAGTCTTCACAGATTTTGATATCAAAATAACCAGGCCTTATTTTGGTGTCTTCATAGTTAAGTTACTTTTCTTTGTTTTAAGTATAGTACTGAGGATTGAACTCTAGACCTAGCACATGGTAGGCAAGTGCTCTACCACTTAAGCCATGCCTCCAGTCCTTTTGTTCATGGTTTATTTTTCCAGTAGGCTCTCATGCTAACTTTGCTTGGCTGGTCTCAAACTGTAATCCTCAAGTCCCTACCTCCCCAGTAGCATATATTACAGGGGTGTACCACTAGACTTGGTCAAATTAAATATTCTTCTATCTCTTCAGTGCAGCAAGGCCCACACTAGTAAGTTATTTTAAACCCTAAGGTCCAAAATGTGATTATTTATTGTATTACAAGCAATACATGTAGCTTCCAAGGCATGAGAAATAACTCACTGCCAAAACCTAGTAGTTCAGCCTCATAGAACAACAGAGATAGAATGAAATCTCAAAATTAAGATGATTTATTTATTTACTCATAATTTTTCTTGCCAATTTTGTTGAGTATATATTGGTTCATTTCAACAAATAAGCCATAATCAGAAATAAAATTATGATATAGCATAAGAATGTAGTAAATTCTGAAAGCTCTGTGAGACACCCTTATCTTTAAATAACAAAAATATGAAATGTCTGCTACCAATTAATTGTATAAAAACACAGCACTAATTCTAGAGGAATAGTTGACAACACAAAGAAAGCTTGGAACCTATCCAAATCAGGAAGTTATAGTGGGGAATAAATGAGACCATTAACCATATGTTTAGATAGCACTGTAGCCAACATCAAACTTAAATCATAATTAGATATAATGTTTGTTTAGCAATAAAGGATTTATTCACTATTCCTGCTAGTGAAACATGGCAGGCTTTGTATTCTGCTTCAATAACAGCTCAAATGATGTGTGTGATCACACTAGGCACAGAGAACTTATCTATGACACCAAGAAAGAGAAGCTGTAAATCTCAAGTCACTGTTTATTTAAATTATACTCACTCGAGTTTTTAAAATAGTAGAGTCTATACTTATAAATATATTATTTGTGAGGTCTACGTGAACTTTTTTCTAATTTATTGTAATGATAAAATGTATTGCAGTTCAGAAATTTTCGTATTTAACATGGTTTAAATTAATCAAAAAGCTTTTCAATTAACTAAAGTTAATATGTTTATTTAATAAAAGTGATAATGCCAAAAATAATTGTTTTGTAGAGATTTGACCCATATTCTATTCTCAACATTATTGTTTCATTAGAGTTTGGCCATGTCATAGGATTTTGTAGGTAGAATGTAACCCTCAAAAGTTTTCTCATGTCTTATTCATGAGCCCAAGGAAATCAAAATTTTTGAAATTCTTGAGGAATTTTTGTTTTGTTTTATTTTCCAATGAGTAGTTCTATGGAAATAGAATTTAATAATGCCATGAACAATAAAAGATGCCAAGGTTTCTAGGATGTCTAGGAATTATTTTCAGTCTACAGTTTTTCAGTGCTTTATTCCCTCCACCCACGTAGAATTTCATCAGTATTCAGTCAAAGACTCACTGAAATCTTTCTGCACAGCTCAAGAACTCTTTATCAAATGACTTTCTTTTTGAACACATATTGTATTTGCTTCCATAAATTTTAGCTGCTTCAGCTTCTCCAAGCTTAACCCTTTGCCTCTCAACTCAGCTATGGTGCTGGACTTTACTTGTTCTCCTCTGTATGTTGCAGCCTAGAAACTGCCCCCATACATAGCCTCAGTTGTTTTTCTTTCCTCAGAAAATACTATACTTCTGTGCAATGTCTGAAAACAATTTTTCTGAGTTTATTTTTCTGTTTTTGAAACTTAATAGCTTGAAAAGAGAGGAGGTTTTTAAAAAAGCTAACTAAGAAACAATACTTAAAGTACCAAATGTAATAAACAGCCAAGTAAGAGTACAGCTGAACTGTGTCTATTAAATTTAAAATCAATAAATAAAGATTTTTATTTTTTGTATTGGTGAGTGTCATTCTAATCAGTCACATTGAGTTAACCAAGTGTGGCCTATTTGGCCCCATGGTAGAAACCTGTAAAGATGTGGACTGTTGTTTCCACTGAGTTAGCACATCTTTTCAAGAGTGGTAAAACATGTGAACACTTTCCTAGAAATCAATGACCTGGAAGTGACCAAGAGTTTTGGTGATTGTTTAAAAAAGTTCAGACATCTGACTTCATTTAGACATGTGATTTGAGAACATAAAAACTAGACAGGACAATCATTTTCCTTCTACCCAGACTGCAGAGATATGGTAGTGCCATGGGTAGTGTTCTCAGAACAGTCACCCCTGAGAGGTGGGGCTAACTGGCCTCTGGACTTAAGGTTTTTCTGTAGCTCTCTTAAAACTTAAAAGCAAGCTTTAAAAAATTCTACAAGATCAATGAGTAACAAAACTGTTTGGTAGACAAATTTCAATATTCATTTAGGGTATACAACAAATCTGATTCTCAACAATGAAAAATGTACAATGTCTAGTATACAAAAAAAATTACTAGGCATGTCAAGAATGAGGGAAATACAACTCATAAACCAATATGAGTAGTTCCCCAAAAAAGGATGGAATTAACACTCCTCTTAAAATGTAAGTGCTTATAAATATTTTCAAAGATAAATGACAAAAGTGAATATAATGAAGAAAGCTTTAAAAACATCAAAAAATGAATTTTAAAGATGAAAAATACAATATTTGAAATAAAATATATTCATTTGGGTTAACAAGACTGTAGACACTGTAGAAAAAAGTCATGTATTTGAATTCTTGACAATAAAATCTATTAAAAATGAAAATGTAGGGGAAAAGAATGCAAAAATAGAGCCTCAGGGAGCTGTCAGAATGCATCAAGTGACTCAACATTTGTAATGAGCCCAGAAAGAGTAACCGAGGGTGAGAACTGAAAATCAATTAGAGGGATTATGGCTTAAAAAATCCAAATTTGTTGAAAATATAACCCCACAGAACCAACAGATCCAATTAATCACATGAAAAATAAACTCTAGAGAACCTCAAAAATAGCATGACCAAATAGCTGAAGATCAGTTTTTGTATCATCTACTCAGCAAAAATACCTGTGAAAAATGAAGGGAAAATGAATACTTTTTTTAACAAACAAAAAAAGAAAGATTCATTGTCAGCAGACCTGAAATGATAGAAATAGTAAAAATAAAAACTAAGAAATCAGTTAAGGGAAGAAGAAAAATGATATGAAATAAATTTTGAATGTACACAAAAGATTTAGAATAATTGGTATTAAAACATACATGTGCAAATAGAAAAAAAAACAGTTTTTTTTCTTATTTAAAAAAGATAACTACAAGGCCCTGAGTTCAAACCATAGTAACTCAAAAAAAGATAATTGACTATTTAATCAAAACAACAAGATTCATAAGATTATATCATGGGATAAAAAAGTAAAATATATGACAATGTTAGCATAAAGAGTGGGAACGTGAGGAAATTTACTGTTTTATGATTCTTATGCTAAATGTAAAGCCATCTAAAATTCTGGAACGTTAAAGATTTTACTCCTAGAAAAACACCAAAGGTATAAAACAAGCAGGCAAAATTAGTAATTGAGAAGTGATGAGAACATTATTAAAATATTTTATAAAAATATTCAATCCAAAAGAAGGCAGGACAAGAACAGATAGGTCAAGCAAAAAGTAAACAGAAAAAAAATGGAGATTTAATCCAATCATGCTGATAATTACATTAAATGAAAATAATTTAAATACTCCAAATTAAAAGTCAAAGTACTAAGATGCAACAAACAGCAAAGATTTAAATATACATTATCTAAATGAAACATATTAAGATATTAGAGATGAAATAAACAAAAGTGTGGAAAAATATACACCACACAAACATCAAGGAAAAGAAAGTTGAAATGACTATATTAATATTAGAAAAAAGTACATTTCAGAGCAAAGAACATTACCAGGAACAAAAAAGGACATTTTATCATAAGGACATCAAGTTTTCAATAGTATATAACAATCCTAAGTGTGCATGCTTTTATTACCACTGCCCAGCAACTATGAATAAAAGCCTGAGAACCAAAAAAAGAATGGTAAATCAGTCATAGTTCAACACTCTCAGCAATTGATAAAACATGTAGACATCAAAGTCATAAAGGCTAATTGATCTGTATAAACTATTTCATCCCAAAATTCCAGGATATATGTATTTTCAAGTGTACATGTTATAATAATTTGAAAAGCTAAAAACAAGGAAAAAATTAAATTTAAAGTGAGCAAAAGAAATAAATGTTTATTTCATATAAGTGTTAAATTTTATACATTTTTATATTATTACATTATTACTTAATATCTATAAGTGATATCCCCTCTTTTATTTATGATTTTAATTATTCCTTCCTTCTTTTTGATCATTCTTTCTAGAACAAAATCAACTATTGATTTTTGCATAAAACCAGTTTTTTTGTTTCTCTAAAGCATTTCTGTCTTCTATTTCTTTGTGTAAACTTCTTTGGACATTATGAGAAAGGAAAACTTTCCAAACCATTTTATAAGGCTATCAGTATCCCAATATCAGTACCAGACAACAACATGACAAGAAAAAAAAAAAACTATTTCAATATCCCTTGTAAACACAGGTGAAGGCAAATAGAATCTAACACAGTTAAAAAATAATCCCATGATCAAATAGAGTTTATCTGATATTGCCAGGTTGGATCAACAATTGAAAAAACAATATTATTCACCATATTAACAGCTTAAAAGGAAGTGACATAATTATCTTAACAGATGCAGACAAGGCTTGTAACAAGCATAAAGTTTTGATAAAATCTTAGCAAACTAGGGTTGTGAGGGAATATCCTCAAATCAACAGGGGGTATCTATGGGTAAAATACATCACATAACATCATTCTCAATTGTAAAAGGCTGAACACCTTCAGTTGATAATAAGGAATATGGCAAGGATGTTTGCTTCTATTGCTTCTAGTAAATATGTCACAGCAGGGGAAGAAAATGAAGTAAGAGTCACACAAATTGGAAAGGAAAAAGAATGATTGTATTTGCAGATAACATGATTAACTACAAAGAAACTCTCAATGGATCTATCACAAAAGCAACTAAACTATCCGTTTAACAGGATGCAGAGTAGAAAGGTAATACATGAAAATAATTGTGTTTTTCTCTACTAGAAACTAACAATTCAAAACAGAAATGGAACAAAGACTAGCATTTTACCTTTGCATCAAAAACATGAAGTGATGATAAATTTAATAATATATATGCAAGGTTTGCATACCAAAACTATAAAATATTGCTGAGGAGAGTTAAAGACTTAAATAAGTGCAAGGTTGTGCTTTAGTCATACACTGGAAGATTCAATATTCTTAAGATGTCAATTCTTCCCAAATTAATCTATAGACTCCATATAATCCTAATCAAATACTAGTAGACATGTTTTTTGGTAAAGAAATCGGGAATCTGTGTTGAAAATTTATATGGAAATGTGAAGTATCTGAAGCATGCAAAAGATACTGGAAATGAAGAATAAAGTTGAAGAGATTATAATACCTGCTTTCATTCCTTGCCATACAGCTACAGTAATCAAGACAGCACAGTTTTCTCATAATGATAGACACTTAGATGAGTGAGACAGAGTAGAGCCATACACATAATGAACATGTGTATGACCAACTGATCTGACAGAGACCAAAGTAGTTCCATGGGAAAAATAGTCTTTCCAACAAATAATGCTGGAAAAATTGGATAAAAAATTTACAAATGAACCTTGACTATTATCTCACACCATATAAAAATGATATTTAAAATAGAATGGGGACCTAAATTTAAGAGCAAAAAATATAAAACAGGAGAAATACCTTTGAATTTTGACCTGGGTAAATGCATGTTTCTCAGATAGAACATAAAAGCATGAAGCAAAAAAGACAAAGATAATAAAAACTAGTGTTTATGAAAATTACATAATCATACTAAGTAAATATCAAGCTATATTCTCAAAGAAATATAGTTAAAAACATATATATGTCAAGGGACTTGTATCCAGAATATATAGAGTTCTTACATTTCCTTATTAAGAAAACAAACAACACAAATGAGGAAACATGAATGGCAAAAAATAAATTAAAAAATTTTCCAAGTCACTGGGAATTTAAAACAGCAAAAAGCATGAATACACACCTAACAGAATGCTTAAAATTAAAAACTGGTCAGAATTTCAAATGTTAACAAAGATATGGAGTGTTCTTATGAAGAGAAATGAAAATATGTATCTATAAATATGCTTTTGACTTGTATACTAGTGTTCATAGAAAAATTATTCATAACCCCAAACTGGAAATGACTTTAATGCCTATAAAATGTAAATAGATAAACTAGTTATAGTGTTACATACAATGGAATATTATTAAGCAATTTAAAAGAAGAAACTACTGATGCTTGCAAAAGATAGATGAATTTCCAAAGTATCACATTAAGTGAAGGAAGCCAAACCAAGCTCTTACTCCCCCAAAAAATGATGACAACAAAACAGCAATAAAGAGTGTGATTCTACTTACATGAAGTTGTAGAAATGGCAAATTTACTGGGTTAGAAGGCAAAACAATAGTTTTGGGAGGTGAGAGGGAGTTGATAGAAAGGACACATTGCTGGTCAAACTGAATTTTATTTTATTTTATTAGTATCCTCCAAAAAACTGATAAAAGCCCTGAGCTCATCACCTTCCTGAACTTGCTCCTTCTCCCCTGGTTTCTATAGTAGTGAGTGGTTAAGTATCATAATATACTCTGTTGTAAAGTAAGACATGAGAGTCGTGCTTAAGACTTCTTTTTCTCTTCTGCCAAATCAATGAATTCATGTCAGCTTAAGAGAATCTCCTCACCAAAGTTCGTTGTCTGGTTATCTCTCAGTATTTCTTCAGCAGTCTTACAAGTTCTTATCCTCCCTGATGGTGCTAGATTTCTCTAAACCTGAGTCTGGTCATGACATTTTCTATGACCTGCCTGTCATGGGGAAAAAGAGGACTTTTCCAAGATAAAGGTTTTCAATATGATTCTGGAGTCCTTTCAACTACTTCCTGAAAACCAAAACCTAGTCAATATGGGGGTAATTCCTATAGATTTTTGGCATATCCCCTTAATTAATTTATTTCCTTGTACTTTGTAAACATATCTTATTGTGCCTAGCTAGAATGCTATAGCTGTTTTCTATTTTTATTATAGAATTTTTTGTTCTGCTTCCCCTGTTTTTGCAGCTGTCATAGATTGAGCAGAATAAATGTGTCTTTCATTATCTTTTCCACAGTAAAATCGAGGATACCTGCATACACTCTCTGATAGTTCTTTATTGTTTTGTGATATAATAATGGGTTTCAAAATGTCAAGTTATAGCTCTCTACTAAAACAAAAATCTCTACAAAAATTTTCAGTTAAAAAAAGTGACTCACTCACCTTACAACCGGTGACAATGCTGTGGCCCCAGGTATTGGGTGCACACGCAGAGCACCTCTCTCCAATGGTGTTGGGAGGGCAAATGCATCGACCGGTCTTTGGATCGCAATTATTACCCAGGTAGGAACAGTCACAAGCTTCACAAGGAAGAGTGGAAACAAAGAATTGTCAATAAATGGTAAAAATTTGATATAAAAAGTTGAGTTTTTAAAATTGTGTTAACCCATGTTGGTTTTCCATTTTCTGTACTATCTTTGACTATCCTGAGAAATAAAGACTTACCTCTTTCCTAATTTATACCATAGTACAGTATATATCACAAAGAGTTATTCAACCAATGTATGCTGTATTTCATTTAATAATATCCAAAGTTAAACATTTTTAGCTTTCCTTTAGTATAAGAAAGGAAAAAACTGGTGTTATCAAATTCTCTTAACTGGAATATCTCATGTCTAGATACTGTAAAGTTTCAAATTTTTGTTTGTTTATTTGTTTAAAGTAAATCAATATTTTACAGCTATAAAGATTAATTTTTCCTTCCTGATGATGATACTGATTTTAAATGAAAACTAATAAGCTTAATAGGCTTCTTAAATTCAATATATCATGTATATTGTTATAAATGACACACATAATATTGCAGTTCTGCAAATATTTAAAGATAGTTGAATTATGGAAACTGTCTCTCTATAAAGATATTTGAATTTTTATTTACTACTTTCTATATTTCTTCTCAATAGATTTTCATTTTCTTCACTATGAATGATATATGAAGATTTCAAATACCCTACCTATTACACTTTCTGAAAATTGAAAAAATAAGGCTTACAAAGATAGTCAAAGCCATCCAAGACAAAGAATACATCTTCTTGTTATCTATAGTCGAGACAACTACTAAGAATATATTTCATTGCAGTATTTAATTTCAAAGAAATGGAAATGAGAGATGAAACACTAAGTACTGGAATTCAAATGGAAGACTAATGTTATGAGAAAACTTTCAATTGGTTGTATGATGTTAAGTTATTTTATTTTTTTCCTCTTAAAAGTGCTAGTTTTATTTTCTTTTATTTTTATTCACTTATTCATATGTGCATACATTGTTTTTTAATTGAAAACACTTAGAACATTTGGTTATGTTCACTTTGAAGGGATCACTGTAGTCATTGCTCACAGCATTTCACACCAGCTGTGTAAAATATTTAGCACAATACTTGACATAAACACTGAATGTCAATCGCTATTGTTTTTGTGATTATTATTGTTGTTAGTAATTTTAAGACACAGGATTTATTTCACATATGCCATTCATTAAGAAGAAAAATAGTTAGCATTATATTTAGATTTATGTGCTAAGAAATGTCACGGGACAGTTTGAATCATTACTTGCAAATAGAAATTCTCTAAGTAGATCTTCACTGGAAATATAACACTGAACTGAACAGGAAGAAGATATAAGCAATTAACTAATTTTCTCCAACCAAAGCACAATGTTTATTGCAATTAGTCATATGAATAAAGATAATAATAATTATGATAGACACATTAATATTTAATATGTCAGACATTTCTTTAAATATTTTACAGGTATTAACTCAAATAATTCTTGGAAAACCCTATGACATGGATGCTATTATTACTCTAATGTAATGGATGCATTTTGCTGCAGGAAAGCAAGGCTAAATCATACCATCAAGGTCACAAAAACAGTTACTGATGGAGCTACCAGATAAATCCAGGCTGTTAGGAGCAAACCATACTCTCAGTCACAATGTTACCCTGCTTGTTTGTGCTTTTCTCTATTCTGTTTCTCTAGTTTAGAATGTTTACCAGGTCTGCATTTTTTAAATATTATCACCATTTCATAATTTTAAATAACATTCGTTTAGATGAGCTATAATTATTACATCCATAGAAACTTAAAATTGCCTGGTTTATAATAAAAACATATCTACAATGCTTGAGAATGACTGAAAGACAGTGGTTCTTTAAGTAACTTGAAATAGTATTCCTACTGATCACACATAAATTTGGTACAATAGTCAATAGTAGCACTTTGAAATCATACCACAGTGTTGGGAGTACATTATAGAACTATCACTAAGGTTCAATCAATGAACTTAGCAAGCAAAGGCAAGATTCAGTCTCATAACTGTTAGATAAGGGTCAATTCCAAATCAGTGGCACATAAGTCAAAGGTAATGTTTAATCTTTACTTTCATCTGTAGTGTGCTAATTGTTTTCTTAGTTCATGATTTGTATGAAAGCTCTGACTAGACATAGAACACTACTTTAGGGAATCATACCTGCTTTTCCCATGAACTAAATATGTGGAACCAATTTGTTTCTCTCCCAGAACATTATGGTTTTCAAGGTAGCTAAAAGTAGATAAAAACTATTTATTTCGTAACAGAAAAAAACTAAACTCTTTGATACTTATATTAAGTTTAAAACAAGTAAAGGAAAAGTTGAAATGTCTTAGCTTGGGAATAGAGCTTGACTTATGATAACAGTGACACCAGAAAAACTGAACATTTGACTTTCAAGTTGCAATAGTCATTGAATAACTGGCTGAATGGAGGTCAGAGATAGAGAGTGACACACCAGAATTGGAATTTGCTGGTAGACTTTTCTTGAGTACTGCAAGCACATATATAGGGTAGTCTTTCAAACTGGAAGGCATTTTATTTGTTAATTAATTTAAAATAAATGTAAGTTTTTATTAGAGTACCTATTCTGGATCATGTGTCAATGAGCTTTTCTTTTAATAGAACAAATGAAATAGAAGTTCTGTTTCAGAAGCCAAGCTACCAAAACCAGACAATGAATGTTTAGGATATCAGTCTTGTTTACAGACCTGTGCAGCCTCCTTCTTGGAAGTTGAAATAGCCATGGGCACAACGATCACATTTCTTTCCTGTGACTCCAGGTTGACACCAACACTGTCCACTCTCTTCACAGTCAAATGATTTAGATCCAAAAGAATTGCAGTTGCAGGGAACACACCCCCTTGCAGATTGTAGACCAAAGGTTTCAGGCTGGCATATATGACAAAGGAAAAAATTAAATTTCAGTCAATTAAATAACAGTGAAAACAAGAGACACAAAGACAAGAGATCAGTGAGGGAAAGAGGAACCTATAGGTTTGTAGGGTTCTTCCCTGATGTTATTAAAAGTGGGTTGTTATTTATTGAGTGGATGTTTTCTATGGTGTCCAAAAAAGAAGACTAATGGAAGAAATAGCACTATAATTTTGTGTGCTATATTTTCATCAGCCTTTCCCTATACATCCCAAGGTTCTAATAGAAATGTGAAATATACTATTGGTTATATTCCTAGCTTTAATTTAAAATTTTACTTACTTTATTCTTAATAATCCAAGTTGATTACTGTCAACTTCTTCTGATCGGTAAAAAATGCTTTCAACATTATTGACTAGCAGTCTGAAGTCTAAATAATGGTTTTCTCCTAAGATTTGATCTAATTTTTGTCACAGATCCATAAATACTTCTAGTCATCACTATAGTATGCACATTGTAAATAAGATTTATAGGTTATGCCTACACTGACCAAATAATTGATTCAACAGACATCTAGTTTGTTATATTTCATTCTAATAATTGAAATTGACCTGTGAGAAAACATATTAAGGCCCTAGATTAGAAAGGTAAGAGAAATTTTCATCTGATGGGTTATTCATATGCACATCCCTTATCTATTTGTAACAAATCATCTTCTAGAGTCAAGTTTGTGTTACTAGCTTTGGCTAACTTTCTTGAAATGCATGTCATCAGGCCTACAGTGACTGTTAGAAAATGCTTGTAGGTTCAGAAATTGCTTATCTAGAATATTGAAAAGCATATATCCTACTTAAAGTATGTCAGAGTTGTCTTTTTGAACATCAAGTATGTCACATTATTATGATATTTTAATCTGGAAAATTAGTCTCAGTAATTACTTCTTTGTAAAAATAATTCCTATTTTGGGAAATTAGACTATAATTACTTTTCGGTAAAAGTAATCCTTACCCCTTAATGTGACTCACCCAAAGAGACATGAATAAGCCTCATTATATGTTTTCACTATTATTGTTGGAAGTATTAAAAATAAGTTTAAGAAATTAAAATCACTCTGAAAATTAGACTTAAAATAACTGGCTAAGAACAATTTTATTGTTTAGTAGTAAAATTGAATGACTGAATTTGAAAATTATTTTAATTTTTACATTTACCGCCAGCATTATTATTTCAATTCATAATTCAGATTCCATTATATTAAAGAATATGTAACAGTTCTAGCTAGTGACAGAATTTTGAAACTAAATTCCCCTATATAAAGAAATATTAAAACACACAATACTTTAATTCATAAAAAGCAATTCAATGTAAAATTCTAAACACAGAGAAATGATCAGATAGTAAAACAATAATTAAGACACAAACATGCCAATTACAATATTATTTATTATAGCATGTAGGCATTTTAAATGCTCAATGTTAGAGAAATAGCTGAATAAATTAAATTATAATGTAGTCATGCTATAGAATGATATGCAAATCATTAAAATATGTTTTAATGATATGAATATTCTTAAGTTATGGCATTAAGTAAAATTTCTAAGAAGCAGCATACAAAATTATAAACCCTATGATTTTAATTATATACCTATAATTATACACATACTACCCAAAAAGACACAAATAGAAAAATAAGTATATAGAAAAAGATAAAACATGGTATTAAAGAAGATTTTTTAAATATATGAATTATAGGAGTAATACTCTGCATTTGTTTTTATTTCTAGCTTTTCTTTACTTCATAAGCTGAATTATAAAGATAGTGCTTTACATTTACTATATTTCTTTAATTTTTTTCATTTAGCCTATAAATAAGTATTCACATATTTGTACATTTTCACATTTGTATGTATGTGTACATGTATGTATAGAGTCACACACATACCTTCAGTGGATAAATTAATCAAATATTAAATGAATTTCTAAATTATAGTAATCATTTAAAAATTCTAAAATTTATTGTATAATAAAATATACAAGAAGAAATACTGCCATACTTTTCAAATACTTAAATTTAATTAAAAAAATTAAACTACCAAGTTTCACTAAAATTTTTTAATAAATTTGGAGATCAAAAATCTATTTGAAAGCCTAAGGACAACCTCCCTAATAAAGAAATATAAGAAGCAGACACTTCTAGTCAATAATTACAATTATTGAAGTACCACAAACACAGGAAAGAATGCTGGTCCAGTCCCAGCAGGAAGTTGGATGGGTTTTGGTAAGTAATTTCTCACTTGGGGTAGTAATAAAGCCTAGCACTTAAATACTGTGTCCACTGTGCCAAGCACTGTTCTGAAACTCAATATGAATTCTCAAGACAGCCTGGCAGATAGTTGTAACTGTCATCACGATTTTACATATTGATGACATTGATTCATTGTCTGAAGTCACCAGATAACCAGTAATGAAATCAGGATTCAAAATGAGCCAGCTTGGCTTCAGAATCTTTGCTTTTAATTCTTACACATACGAGTCAGAGGAACAATAGTCTCAGGACAAAACAGTACTGTGGAATATGTAGAAAAAGGGTAAGAATCAGAGTTAACTTTTTGCTAAATTTGGAGACAGTTTATCAGTTACCATCACTGACCTCTATTTTAAATTTGAAAAATAATTCATTAAAAATTTCTTCACTTAGTACCAGTAGTAATAACAATAGTAATAATGCCTAACATTCATTGCAATGACCCCATGTTAGCATCTTATGCACTATGACCTCACTACTACCCTGAAATAAGGATCACCCTGCAAGAGAATATGCAGTGTGGAAAGTTGATGCCCCACAACCTCCAGCGTCTGGTCTTCAGCATTTTCATATGCTGAAATGCTAATCTCCATGGTAATCTTAGGATGTGGGGCCTTTGGAAGATGATTAGGTCATGAGGGTGGAGCCCTCATGAATCAGATTTGTGCCCTTATAGAAGGGGCTCCAGAAAGATCTCTCCACCATGTGAGGTTACTATGAGAAGATAGCTGTCTAGAGGAAGCAAGCCATTACCACACAGAGATTTGCCTTGATCTTATGCTTTGCAGCTTCCAAAAACATGAGGAATAGGTGTTTGTTGTTTATAAATCACCAATCTCATGTTATTTTGCTTGAGTACACTGAAAACTAAGACAGGCTTGTTCCATGCTTCTTCCAGGGTTCTCCACTTAATGGCTGATTACAGTAAGGTACTAGAACCTTTTTGCCAAAGTCAGTAATGGACAAATTTGCCTTGAGCACTTCCCATGGATCTGGGAAAAAATTTTGGGTTTTGGCAAAATGTACCTAATGAGGCTTTTCCTAACCAATTCTTCCTTCTTTCTCTTTTCCAAAGAGTTAGAGCTCCATTGCAGCAGGAGTTAGAAGTTTCCCAGCAAACACTATGCTCTTTCTGCTCATGTTTCAGACATGTCTTTCCCTCAAAAGATAATTTTTTTGATAGGGTCAAACTTTTTGAGAGGGTCCCTTTATGGACAGTGACCAAACTTTTGTTTGAAATTAACTTTTCTTATTTTGTGTGGATCATGAAATGTAGCATATGAAAATGTGCTTCGTGTGTTTGATATATACATGAGCAAGAGTATAAATGTGGAAATTAACAAAATCCTTAAGTATGGGAACTGTCAGACAAATGCTTTATTGATGATCTCAACTTTCCTGGACAAAGTTCACTTGTTCACTCATCAAAGTGAGTTTTCTCCAAATGATGCCTGATTTCCCTTCAAATAATTCACCTGCTTTCTAGACATTCATTGTTTATTGAAACTTTTATGAACTTATGACCTTAAACAGACTTTTAGAAGCATAAGGATAGTTATTTTTGAAAAGGCAAGGCTTCAATCAGGAATTGTCTAATGTTTGTGTTTGCAATTTGCACACTTAGCAACTGTTATTTGGTAAAATGCCACCAGGGAACTCATCTGCAGCACACAGAACACATCATGCTGAGTGAGGCATGAGCCATGCAGCGCCTCTGGGATTACCGGAGCTGGGGCCCGATAGGCTCCCCGAGGGCACCCACTGGAGCTGCTGGAACCCCACCTCTGGGGAGACCCCAGCAGCCTCTGCGCTGTCCGTGGCTGCTCATCCTGTCGATGCACCTGCCTGCTGAGGCGGCATTGCTTCCCTACAAAGCCTGATTTACAGACACATCTTCCTGTCATATCACATTGTGGCGACACAGAGCCCATGGGATTGCAGTCACAGAGCACACAGAATTGCTTCACTGGGTCCCACCACATATTGGGCTTTAAAAGCCAACAGAAAAATAAAATGAATACAAAACAAAGAGCATATGGTATTAAAATTCAAGACATAGGAGCAAATGATACTTTTAACTTTCCTACTGAAAGGCCAGTTTGACATTTGAGAATTACTTGCTTCTGCTTAATAGTCTTTATCACCAATAAAATATATTTATGTGAGAGATCTAGTGCAAATTCATCAACTTTCAAGGAGGAATACCAAGGGATCTGCCTTACTAAAGACAGGGCAACCAATATGTTAAGGAACTGAGATAACATAGTTTAATTGAATATTTCATTTTAGCAAAATGATATATGTAAAAAATATATTGATTTACTTCTCCACTGCAAAGTTTTGTTAGGTAAAGTGTTCATTGCAACTAGATTTTGAATGACAGAACTAGAAAAAGGTGTTTACTGAGAGCAAAGGTAGTCACACATTTTATTTGCCAAAACCATAAAGGTACAGGAAAGTATTTTACTCTCTAAAGACCAGGGTGAGCAGTGTATTATTTGATTCAGAAACATCTATAATTACAGCAAATATACAAATTCACTGCCCAGTTGCCTACTGTAAGGTACAACAAATTTTGTTGTTTTTGAGAAACTATTTCACTGATCACAGTGATCTTATCTTTAGATTTTGATAATCTCATGGGGCTTGCTCCACTGAGGGCAGAGCAATCAGTGTGTTCTGGAACTGGAACAACATATTTCATTTGATATTTCATTTTAGCAAAATGATGTACTTTACACTAAGGTGTGTAAAACACATCACTGACAGTCAATGAAAATGTTCAAGGAAGAAATACTTTCTTAGTCACTCTTCCTTACCTTACATTCATCACAGCGCTGTCCCTGCACGTTGGGTTTGCATTCACACTGTCCTGTTCGAGTGTGGCAAATCTCCGAGTAGGAGCCATTGACATTACAACGACAGGCTGCAAAGAGAAGAGACATCAGTAGTGGAAAAAAGATTTCCAACACAAATTGAGTATACCTTATCTGAAATTCTTGAGCCCAGAAGAATGTCAGATTTTGAGATTTTTGAAGTTTGGAATATAGCATCAACTTTAGTGGTTAAGCATCTCTAATCTGAAAATCCATGATTTGAAATGCTCCTACTCTTAATGGAATTTGCTAAATAAAAATACATCCTGGATGGTAACATCGATACCTATATTCAATTATAGAATGTTTTCTGACTTGATAAGTGCTCTTTTATTAGGCATTCCATTATTTAATCCCTACAACTCTGCAAATTCTGAGAGAGTTCATATAAAATTTCAATATTTGGCACATTATATACTATTAAAATATTAATATCATCTTGAGAATGAAGACACTGAAATTCTCACGTTTAGTAGGTAATATTATTGTGTCTAGGAGCCTGACTTAGCGTGTGACATAGAGGTCATTGTACCTTGATTCCAAGTATAATGCTATTTTACTTCTTCATAGACCAGTCATGGTAACATTTAAAATATTGGAGTCCCGTGATAAGTGATGTATACTGACTTGAAGTCCAAAATAACTTTGAGAACTTCTCAACATTAATACGACTAATGTCTTAATATTAATATTGCTATTAATCATAGAGCATTCAATTATTTTTTCAATATAGTGATTGCTTACTATGTACCCTTTTTTTTGTTAAGCTACAAAGGTGACCTTGATGTGAAATATGTGTCTATATGTGTGTGTGTATGTACACATATATCCCTTTACAGTTAGAAAATTGAATAAGGTAACACAAACATTGCTTCAATTCTATCAGGAATATAACATTATAAGTTTTAAAAAGCACTTTTGTCTTACAATTTCTATTCCATCTCCAAATATAGAAAACATATTTGGTATAGGTAATCTTTTGTCATTTTGCATTATGAAATTGTTTGTTATTCTTCTGAAACATATAATAAATCAGTCTAAAATTTAAGTGTTTTTTCACAAATAGAACAGTAATTAAGAGCTTACTCTATATTCCACAAGTATAGTTTTAATAGTACATATAATTGCATTGATACCAGAGTAAAGATTGTGAGGTAGATGACCTGGAATTTAGACTATTCATAGATGTTGTATAATGTCTTTGAATACTTTGAGCACAATTTATGAATACATTATAAATAACTGCTCCACCAATCTATGCTGTTAGTCTGTTCACTTGCCTCTGCCTTATACTTCCTTTTATGATTTTCTAAAAATTGCTTGATTACCACCAAGTTTTGGTTTCAGTGTCTGTTCATTTGATATTAGCATGGTGGCCACTGAGAAAGGGGCCCACCCAGCAACCAATCATTTTCCTCAAATAGACAAAGGACAAATTATGGTTGGAATGAAAGAAAAGGATGAAAAGATATTTTATTTCAATATCTACTTTCATATGGACACTAGAATTGCTGTTCATATTATTAATTACTTTTCATAAATTTCTTATATATGTTATATATAAGTTCTAAAAAAAATCTCAATTTAGAATGTATATGTTTCCTCTTCTTAAAGTAGGGACTTCAAAATTAAATTTATTCTAAATTTGGTGATAATTAATTGATGTCACCTTAAAATGACAAAAGGAAGGAAAGGTATGACACTTAAAAAATATTTATGTCTAAAAAACAAAACTCTGTGTTTTTAGAACTTCATGCCACAGATCCCCAATTTACTATAATAAAATGAATAGAACAATATCTTCAACTTTATGGAGAAAGTTATTAGGAGACAGAAAAAGAGGTTATGAAATGATTAACTAGCCCTAGAATTAGTGAACCACAAATATTCAAAGCCACTCTAGACACTATGACTAAGCGAGCATCTCCAAGTTCCAAGAGCTCACTGGATCATCTCTACCTGCTGTCCTTAGCCCTACAGAAAACTCATGACCTTTTCTATACATAGGGAAACTGAGTCTCAGTGAGGTTAATGTCTTGGCCAGGGTCACACAGCTAGAAAACACAGGTCCTAGATAACCTGTATGAACAAAATTTCTCAAGCTCCCTATGATTTCCCACAAGTGACAAGTTACACATTGCATGAAGACACTATGAGCCTGAAGGAATTTTTGCTTTAAAAAGTCCACTTATACATGATATTAATACATGTCAATTGTTCAAAGAGTGATTTTCTTTTGATTCAATAAATTATCATTTTTAAATGACAAAAAAGCTTGCATTCATCTTCTAAACCTATGAGGAGAGAAACACATTTCTTACTGAAATGGGGTATCCTGGTAGGTCTTTGGTGTTTAAAGCAGAGATGATAATGTTTCCTATTTTGTCTGTAATTGTGAAGGTCCTGGGATCTACCTGAATGACTACAAGAGTCTCTTTTACATCACAAATTTAGAGGAAATGGACTGTTGGGCTCACAACCTTTTTTTGCTAAAGGTTATGACAACCAATGAAGCTGAGAGGAGTCACATATGATGCCCTCAAATGCTAATGTGGACTCATACTCCATTTGAATTTCCATTAATAATATGTTACTGCTATTATAAAACATTTATAAATACTATACAACACTGAATAATACAGCAAGGGAGGCAAAGATGAGGGGAGGAATGTATAGTACTAAAATGGAGGGAGCCCTAGAGTAGCTGATTTTGTGGAAGAAAAATACAAATATAGTATTCTATGAATAGTTCTAAGGTGAAAGTTAATCATTTAACAATTACAATGCCAGTAAAATATTGGCAGATTTTTGCACCTGTTATGAAATACAAAACTGTAGAGTTTGCATATAAAACATTACCAATTAACACCTACTGACAGATACTAATGAAATAATGACAGATAAATTTATTTCAAAGAAATCATTAGAACTGAGATAAGCAAAAAAACAAAAAAAGGTCGAAACAGGTCTACCTAGTTTCTGAATTTTTCTCTCTTGTTATGGACATTAGTTCATTTTAAAATCTTTATTGCACATGTAAACAGAAATATGTGTATTATTTGAAAAACAATGCCACATCAGCAATGCAGCAATTTTCAATTACTATGTTAGTACAGAGAAATATTTTGGAATATGCAGACTCTGTATCTATGCTGTGCATCTATCATCCATGAATTACAGATAATTTCCCAGTGTCCAATCCCCACGCAAGAACTCATCAGCGACTTTGAGGTATAATACATCAATTCTGTCAGGGGCATCAATAGTTCAGGACTTACGCTGACAGTTCTTTGCATCAATTGCGTCTCCAAAATATCCATCAGCACAGAGCTCACAGTACCGGCCTGTTGTACCTGGCTTACATATCAGACAGGAGCCAGACAAGCTGTCACAGCTGCCAGGGATGGAGAAGTCAAGGTTGTCATTGCATTGGCATGGCCGACATGATCCTCCAGGTACAGAAGGTTGTCCAAAATAGCCTTCCGCACACCTAAAGTGAAATATTTCATCTGTCAGTGTTTGGTGGAAACTCATCCAGGTAAATGTTTACATTATTTTCACACTACTCCTCTCCCAGGATGGCTTTTCTTTTTAAGCATTCCTTGTCTCAAATGCAAGGTGATTAAAAAAATGGTTTTCTGTAACTGCAGTGTAGATATAAGATGAAATCCTGCCAGCCCCACTAGTAATTAGATTTCAGCCAGACCAAGAAAAACAAAACAAAACAAAACAAACTTGTCACTGGCACTGAAGATGAAACCAAAGCATAATAAGAAATCTGCTGTTGGCACTCTGGAAGAATCCAGGTCCATGTCGCAAAGCCTTTGTAGTACAAACTATCATACGTCTCTGTTCCAATTGGCTGTTTTCCGTACAAATATGTAAGGCTCATATTTCTTTGTTGTTCTTGCAGCAAGAGCTTGTTATAAGGAAACAGGCTCACAAGGAAATTCAGTACAGAGAGTTCAGAATTTATTAAACAGAAACTGTGACTCAGAATATTTTATTGTTATTTGGGTGGGTCTGTGGGTGTCTCTGCATTAATAATAGGTTTGTGTATATTTGCATATGGATTCAGAGGCAGGTTTTCAATGAAGAATCTTTACTAGGGAGAATTCTTAATAGGTTTGCCTTCCTATGATGGCAACATGCCATATATTAACAAAGTCTAGGTCTTTATAAAAATACTATTGTTCAGGTTACTTGGAAAAACAAAAGTTCATTATTTATAAGGCATTACAGAGAAGATTTAAAAAATTGCAATTTCCAGTATTCCTTGATTTAAATATTGTTTTAAGATGATGCTTGATGTTACAGACACTCAGATACGTCCTTATGGGCAGGCCTATTTATATACTGCTCTGTGAGCTCTTTCATTACATTTGCTTATGCTTCATATTAAACCACACGTGCCAAAGGAGACATGAGACAAGGCAGTCAGAGGAGTCTATGGTCAGGCTAGCTCTGTTATCTAGGCCATCTTATCAAAGTAAGGTCTTTTGCAGCAGGGATCAAAATTAAAGGGAACAAAAACTATGTAAGAGAATGTAATTGCCTTCATAGTACACTACTTTATGCTCACCTACTCATAGTCATTATTTAGAGAAAGGCTCTCTCCTGTTTGAAATAGAAATGGTTTAAATACAGGATAATATTAAGGATACATTAATAACATTACAATTATGGGGCCACATCATTTAATTTGACCAATAATACATTGATTATTCTAAGTTTTCTAAAAGATTTTTAGGTACCACAATAAGCTCATACATTTAATGTGTTATCATAATCTTGAACATGAGATTAATAGCTTTAGTTATAGTCACAAAATGGTTCATAAAATTATGAAAGTTGTATAAACATAAGTTTAGAAGGATGCTGCCATTCACAACTATAATTGTTAATCTCTATTATGAAATATGAAATAAATTTAATTCATAAAATCCCCACAATCCCTTCAGAAGAATCATTTAATATAATAATAAGATCTTGGAGCCCTCTATGGTGATATACACCTTTGATCCCATCTACTCAGGAAACAAGAAAGGAGGATGGAAGAACAAAGCCGGCCTGGACAAAATTAGTACCTGATGCTTTCTACAAAACAAACTAAAAGTAACAGGACTGGGAGTGCAGCTGAAGTGGTAGAGCTCTTGCCTAACAAGGGCAAAGCCCTGAGTTCAATAGCCAGTATGGCCAAAAAAGAAAAAAAAAGATATTTTTGAATTTTAACCTGATTATTCTTGCTTTATTTGATATTCAAAGCTTATGTTAGTATCCATGTCATTCTTGTTTTGTTTACCACTAAGAAAGTGACGTTGCTCCATTTAAAGTCAGCATGTACAGTGACCATTATCATAGCCAACCAAGTCTATTGTTTTCAGCTAACTTTCTGAAAAATGACCTGCTGCCCTCAAGAGAGATGGCATTATGTAACAAGATCTGGGAATTTTTCTTAACATAGCTACCAGGTAATAAGTCCAAAATTCTCTTATAGTAAAAAACTCGACCCACAGAGAAAACAATTATAATTACAAAGGATAACTAAAGAAGCATCTACCTTTTATTTTTCATTGCAAGGCATGTAAGGAAAATTTATGAATACATACAATGGACAACTCATAACTCATTTTATTGAAAGTAGGACTATTTTTTGCATTACATTTGGGTTTTATTACTGGTACATATATATGTATGTGTTTAGACATACAACAGTATTCACAGAGACATGTAAAAGTGTTCTTTTAAGGATTAAAAAGTAATTCTATGGACAGGAAATACAATGCTACTGATACAATGCTACAGATTTTTTTTTTTTTGGAAGTGTTGGGGTTTGAACTCAGGGCCTCATGCTTGCTAGGCAGGCACTTTACCACTTGAACTACAACTCTAACCCATTTTTGCTTTAGCTATTTTTTAAGTAGGGTCTCATGTTATTTCCAGGCCAGTTTCAGATTTCAGTCCTCTTATCTACTGCCTCCTGCATAGCTGAGATCATAAGCACATACCACCATGCTTGGCTTATTGATTGAGATGAGGTTTTGCTAACATTTGCCTCAGGTAATTTTGAACCACAGTTCTCTTGATCTTTGTCTCTGGAGTAGCTAGAATTGCAGGCATAAGCCACTGCACCAGGCTTATTCACATGATTTTATTAATAATAATAATATTTTGTGTCTTGATGAATTTAACTAATCTAATTAAAATTAGTTAAAAATCACAGTCCTATGGATCTTTCCAGCCTCTGTGATTTTCACTTTATCATAACTAACTAATACGAAGTCTTAAGCCCTCTCATTTTCACATGCAAGGCAGAATGTGAGCACTTAAAAAAAATAGTTTATTGGCTTTCTTGCTAAAGATAGAAATCCTGACATAAAAGTCACTCTTCCTTTCCATGTTTGTTAATTTATTCAAAGAATATTACAATGTTTTTAAAAGAGACCCTTTAAATGTAAATAAGAATCCAGATGAGTCATGTGATTATGCATCTGAGTTGCTGCTATTGGTAATTTAGGAGTAATATTATAGGAAAGGAGGCATGGAGTGGGAGGAGTCAGAATGAAAATAAATGGCAGAAGAGAAGAGAAACAGCAGTGAGAAAGGTAAAATAGTAGAATGCCTGGGAACTTTCTTTCATTCAGTTCCATCACTTCCTTCTGTAGTTTTTGTCTGAAATCTGTAGTCTACAGCCCATTCTCCTTCTCTCTCTTCCTTGAACACAATAAAACAAGATTAAAATTGAATCCATTTTTATATGACTGTGGTCCCATAGTCCAGGAAGAAGAAAGATGCATTAAAAATGTAACAGCAGAGCTCAGAGAGGAGAGAACTGGACCTCTGCTAGTGCTATTACTGCACAGAGAAGGCCTACTTATGCAGATAGGGTTCAGGGAAGACCCTTTCAGGATGGTAGAGCCAATCCTAAGAGCTGAACGGGGGTTAGCCAGGGGCAAGGGCTGGAAGGGCTGCAGTCTTCCAGGCAGATGAAACAACACTGGCAAAGGCACAGAAGAAGGCAGCTGGCCTAGGCAGGGTTATCTCTGTGCTGTGAGACCCTGTTCTTACTGCTTCCCATTTGCTATTACCAGTTACATAATTGAAGGAATTGATCTGCCTAGATGGTGTCTTTCTGCAAATGAGAAAACATGGATACACCTGGACACCTGAACACAGGATAGATGTACTGGCAAGAGCCGCTTTTGGGAGTGAAGCCCTCATGCTAGATTCAAGCCCCAATTGCTCCTTTCCCTGAATGACTGTACAGCCTCCAAACTGAACAATCACACAGGAGCAGCCTCCTGAAACCTCAGCCACAGTCAAAATTTTGCTAACATCACCGCCAATGAGGAATAAGTGTCTCTCTTCCGTTATTTCTATTACCCCATACTCTGTCTGAAGCTGGAGCCCAGTGGCTCAAGAAGACTCAGCCATGAGTAGAAAATCTCATCAATTCTGTAATCAGAAAACAACTGGACCTTCTTCCACATCAGACATTTCTGAAGCAGCAAATATCTAAGTGGGGTTTTGAATTTGAAATTAAAAACAAAAAGGAACTTCTTTGATTACCTAATATGAATCACGTGGATAGAATTTTAGGTGAATTTTCAAAACATTAATCAATGAGAGTCAAATAACTATCTGCATTTCAGTGGCAAGTGTGAAAATAGCTTTTGGGTTTCTCTTTTCATACCTGGGGAGGAATTGTTAGTATTTGCCAATGCAGAGGAGGGAGGGTTCAAGGAATTCATGCGTCCCATTAGACTGTGCTGTCCTGAAAAATCCAATGAGTGAACTTGCCAAGGTCCTTGTAAATGACTTTTTCAACAGTGTATGGCATGCTGCTAAGACTACAAACTTATTATGAAAGTAATAAGTGGGGCAGGTCTGGTGTCTGGTGTCTGGTGGGGCAGGTGTCATTAACATTTAGCTTACTTTTTGCTCTATGTTCTTTTTAATTACTTTTGATGCTCTAATGCTAATTCAATCCTTTTTTTGTCCTTCAAGATGCAGCATCTCTGTTTTTCTATTTTTCTCCTCTTATCCAAATAATGAAAGCCTACTAGCAAAGTGCCACTATAAACATCTTCTTCTTCCACTTCCTGACTGCCTTTTTTCTTTTGTTAAATATTCCTCAGAAAAGCAGTGATATCTCAAATATATTGGAATTTGGCCCAATATAAAAATGTCCAAGATGTAATTAGAATTTTATATGTGAAAGAATATCAAGCAATATTTTGTTGTTTCTGCTTTTGCCATATTGTTTACTATATTTCTTCACTCTTTCAATTCAAGAAGCTACACCATCTTGTGCTATATGCCTAGTGAAGGGATTTGATCAAGAAGAAAACAGGAATATATAAAACTCCTAGACTTTGACTCTAAAAGTCATGATTTCTATGAATGTGGCACCTCTTTTTATATAACTCCCTAAACAAAAAATGGGATAGAGTTGGAAAGACAGATGGACAAGTGATGAGAGTAGATGGTGGTGAGTCCTAGTGTAGAATGTAAGGAGCTGAATGTATGTTTCCAAGAATGGAAAGAAAATAGTGGAAAAATGGAAAAAGATCTGAAGAAAAAGTTAATTAAGACAGGAAAAGCAATAGGCAGAAACATGCCTTGATGACTTACTCAGGACTGATTAGTTCTACTATATGCCCCCTTAAACCAACATACTCACACCCACACTCACTCACACACTCCTGCATGTAAACACCTTAGTGCTAGGTAACCTGCATAGAACTTTGATTCAACTTTGGAAGAGAAGGGAAAAAAACTTAAGTTGGCTGAGGTGTTTCTAAACCCTCATAGCTACTACAGAGAATGGAGTCTCAAAATAAAAATGAATTGAGATAAAGAATATAAAGTTCTAATTCTTGTCCACTTGAACTATGGTCTGAGACACATTCATACTGTATAACAAGAACAGAAGATATAAGGTTTACATGTATAGGAAATACTGAGCTAACCAAATATCTTACTGCATACTATAAAGACATACGACAACTGTTAACACACTAATTGGTACTTCCCAAACTTATCTGATCACAGAATTCTTTGTTCCAGGAACAGCGACAGTTTGGGAAACACCCGTTTTTTCGTTTTTTAAATGCTAATTTTATGCAGATTTTGTGCATGCAGTGACCACACAAATCTTTTACAGAGGGGTTCTCATCACAAGATTATCCTGGGTTTTGTTTTTCCTCCTTTCCATTTCAATATGCACATCTCAAAAATGTTTCTCCTAATATTTTTTGTCCATTTTATGGTGGTCTTGGCTCATATAAATACAGTGAAGTGATAAATCTTAAATATTCCTATAAAATCCTAATCTAAATTCTGGTTAGAAAAAGATAATATTCCATGGAGTATATAATCATAGTTGAAGGTTATTTTGGCTGAAAAACTTGAATTAGAGGTGAGGTGTCAATTGCTACACTGCTTGTGCATATTGGCATCTCCTTTGGAATCAGATTAATACAGATTTTAGACAGGAAATCATGCTTTCTGTCAGGTATTTCTTCCACTGGTGATTTTTATTATTCAATTAGGATTCACTCTAGAATATATGGAACCATTCTCACTGGCCTTAACAAAAGCTGTGAGCTACTTCAGGGCAAGGATGGTATAATGCATCTGTTTGTATACAATATGTAGCCCTGTAGCTACATATGATGGTTCCTAAACAGATATTTGTTAAATAAAATGCACCATTTTAAGTCATAAATGGTTTAGAAACATGTATAGAAAAGATAGTGCATGAAGCAAAGCAATATAAATACGTCAGAGACTGAGCTCACCTAGATAAGTGGATTTAATGGCCTTGTATGACAGAGCAGCTGTCATATTCCAGTTGCTAAAAAAAGGTTGCCTGCAGTGAGCTGGGGGGTGTTAGGCATTTGATGTAAGTCTGACTTGCAATGATATGCTCTCCTATTATTATAAGTAATAGGCACATGCTTTCCTTTTTTAAAAAATGCATAATTAGAGACCTTCAGTTTCTAGACTGTAAATAAACCCTCCATATTTAAGTTCTTTTCTTCCATTACTGATTTACTGCCATAATGCCACACTGACAAATTGCACTTATTGCTGTTGAAAATGTCACTGGCACTTTATTCAGAGGCTGCCACTTGATAGCCAAATTCTCTCTGCGTGATTGGCTCTGGCTTCATTGACATTAAACACCCTGGTTGAAAGGGGTGATGGCTGCCAAGAGGGTAGGAAAGGATAAGAGGAAATAGCTCTACTTGGGTTGCGCCTTGGTGAAGAGGGGTGAAGGCAGGTCACATCCATAGCTCCATCCACCCCTCCCCTTAGCCATGGTAGCAAAGGGGATTATTTTCAGTGTTCTTTAGAGGGAAGTTACTATGTTTGTAAATAGTATCAAGGGAGAAGTTTGTACTTTCATTTCTATTGAGCCTGAATATACAGAAGCATTTCTTCAAAAACATTTTTTTCAGAAGAAATATAATTACAGAAATTATATAAAATGATACCTATGGTTCCATTGCAAAGCAACCTGCAAAACTCAACAGAAATTAAAATACCGACCTAGGAATAATTAGAAGAGAATATAAATCATGATAATAAATTATGTTTTGTTTTTATTGTCAGACTTATTTGAAGTAAATTATAGACCACTTGCTGAACCATGAATTTGAGCCACATTTTAAGGACAAAAAGCTAATTATGAAAAATAAATGGTGCCATCGGTAGACAGTAAGATAAATCTTAAAGTGATAACTTTCCACTTGAGCAGTACTTTTTAGGAAAATTGTAGGTTAATGCCTAACCTTTAAGATTAAAACATTAATCAGTTATTCCCTGAATGAATGAAGATGTATGTGCAATTTCTAGAGAATAAATAAACTATCAAAATACACTGCATTCATTTGAGAAGGGTGATAGGAACTTTATTTCACCTCATTGAGTGAGACAGCTTTTCTGGGGCACAGCAAAGGATGATAGTGCCTGTGGTTTTATAACTCCCAAGGTAGAAATCAGTTGGTGAGACAATATTGCAGGAGCTTACCTCTCACAGCGTGGTCCTGTGTACCCGACAGGGCATTCATCACAGATCAATCCAAGACTCCAGTCTAAATGGCACGTCGGGCTAAAGCTATGTTGATGTCGATGGGGAACAGCAGGGACAAGGAAGCACATACACAAAGACATTAGCAACACATTTTCATTTCTCTTTCTCCATGACTGCTGTGACAAAAGGGTACAGGCTGGTCATTCTCATCTCATAGGAAGAGATTAGGGTCTATCCAATTGAGGATGAAATGAGATTGGTATTTCTGCAGATGTGAGTATAGCCCAGTGGAGAGCAGTATTCCTGTGACATGTTATTAACTGACTTAGGCTATTCTGGGTCTATATTAACACTGACAAGACAGAATGGACAGCTTCTTCTTAGGGATTCCCTAGGCCTGGGAAAACACATGCTCACATTCTTTCTTTCCACCTACATCCCTCAGAATTTGAAGAAGCCCAGAGAAATCTGAGAGATTTCAGAAAACTCAGTAGACAGGCGTGGTGGCAGTAATGGTGACAGCATGTGTTCCTACATCTGGTCCCACTGCCATGGGGTGTGTGTGAAGGCTGCCACACATGTGTACTCACAGGCATTCTGTTATGTGGATGGAATCCTTGGGAAACTCTTGGAAGAAATAAAGTGTGCACTTTCTACCTAAATTTATAGTATAGCAAATCAAACCAAAACAACCTTGCCAGCTGCATATTCAGGCATGTTCTGAAATTTACCTCTCCCTTCACACATGGTTCTAATTTGGGTCTGAAGTAATGTCCCACAAAGAAAAAAAAAAAGAAATCATGTCCCAGCATCAACCTTTAACCATATGTTCAACTCTACTTCACTTCTTTACCTGAGACCCTTGTCATGCAGCAACCTTACCCCAAAGTCAACACACTTTACTGTGGCTATCTGCTGGCTCTCTTGAAGTGCCCTCATCCACTTTAAATTAACTGAATTCTGTCACTCAACCATTTTTAGCAATTTATTTTTAACTGATACATAAAAAGTATACACATAAATGGGTACCATGTAATGTTTCATGGTAATACATTATGTAATGTTTAGATCACATTAAACATATTTATCTTCCCAAATTATCTCCTTATGCTAAAAGCTTTCAAAGTCATTTCTTCTGAAATATACGCAATATTGTTGTTATCTGTACCTTCTGTACTATACAACAGCAAAGCAGTGTTTCTTGCTGTTATCTAACTGTAACTTAGTACTTGTTGATAAACTTTTCTCTGCCTCCTCATTCCTCCTTCCACTACTCTTAGAACCCTGAGGAACCACCATTCTATACACAACTTCTATGAGATCAACTATTTTAGATTCCACATTGCTCTAGCATTTTAAAGGGAAATGCCCTTATGTTGTTCTTAAATAGATTTATTTTATATTATATATGACAGGACAATTCAGTAGAGACTTGCTTGATGGCTAAATGAATTAAAGAGAGAACAACAAATTTAACACTGCAACTTCTGATCTCCTTCTGTTCCTGACATTTGCATGACTTTGGGATACTTAAACTTTGGTGGAGACTGGAACATGGGTACTGTTGTTATTCTAGTTTCACCCATACTAGTACTACAATGATTTAATAATTCTTATTACCAGGCTACTAGAATCAAGTAAACTCATCATTTTTAACATTTCAACTCAGTGGAATGTCTATATGAGTCTGTTGGGTCAAGGTGGGTAGTAAGCTTGATCTGGGATAACTTGAATTTACAAATATTCTCTGTATAAAAGATTTCACATTCAGAGGTTCTGTTGGCTGCAACAAGCACCCAGCTTGTGCTCTGCAAGAATAAAATCTCCTCTTAAAGTGGGATTGCTTCCAAAGGTCTAACAGGTGATCTTGGCAGGAGTGTGCTTGTACCGAGAAAAGGCTTACATTAAAAGAGACAAAAATAGGATTTTCTCCCATCCTTACGTGTGATTTGCTATTGTTTGAGAATACAAAAGCCAGAAGTGGATTTTGACAAATCTCTATTGTGCATATATATCTTCTTCAAAAAGTGGCATTCTATTACTATCTCATCATCTGTGCATGATGACCTCTAGTAGAAGCCCCAAGTTTACCACCCCTCTGGGACTATAATGATTGAAGGAAAACCATACCAATTCTTTTTTAAAAATCAGTTTACCATAAGACATGTCAAAGGTGGTTGACAAGTCTTCCTGACACTTTAAAACTATTTATAAAATAGATTTCAAATTCTTAAAATATTACATGTCAGTTAAAGCCAACAGAAGTAAAGTAAAATATGCTCACTGACAAAAAGTAATACTTTTCCAGGGAAAAATTAAACAATAATAATATATTAGATTTGACTAGCTCTATAGTTCAGAACGCTTTTACATATAATTTTATCACGTTTTCATAAAATCCTATAAATTGGTTTGGGAAGACATAATAATTCTTCTTTCCAAGGTCATACACTAATTTCCAGGAGAATTGAGCATGATATCCCAAACTTCAGAGTCTTAATTTGATGTTCTCTTCTTGCTATAACCAACTGTAATTTAAATTTACTGGTGAAAATTAAGTGAGTTTAAGCTTCTGGTAATATAAATACTTGACATGACATAGTCAAATAAAATCTCCTCTTAAAATTTACCTCTATTTGTGGGTTGGTATTCTTTAAATAACATAAACTGAAGATTCACTCCCTTACTGATGAAATTGCAATGTGGTTATGGTAGAAGACAGCATTTGATAACACAAACAAAATTAGAATGGGAAATGAATATGCACAACAAAAATTGCCTAGAGAAGCTGGATTGGCAAAGGTAGCAACTTGACACTGATTTTGTGACATAAAGAGGGTACTGTAAAAACACCCACTGGACTTCAAGATTATGTCATTTAACTCTTGTTGGCTTGCCCCACACCAGAAGAGAGAATCTCCTGCTTCCTGAATTCTCTAGCCCTTGCCATTGAAGACAGGAGAGCCAAGAAGAGAAGGCATTGTCTGTAAAGATGGGGAAGCAAAGATGCTGCTGAAATAAATTGCAAGGATCTGCACATAGGGATCATCCTTTTCCATGGCCAAATATAAGTTTTTATGTGCAGAATGATTCATTTGTAAGTATGCATATATGTTCATATTCATGATTATGTTTACATATAAATATATCTGAGAACCTGTGTGCATATATTTATGTATGTGAATGCATGTTTTCAGATATAATTAGTTTTCTTCCAAAATGACTTGAAATTTACCTCTTGTCTTAGAATACATTTCCCAGTTATAAGTACTAATTTTCACAGTAATTCAATATGACCTTTTGAGTGAGCCCTAAGTCAACTCTAGAAGCATTCTATTCTTTTAAATATATAAATTTTAGTATTACTGATGCTTAACTGATTTTCTAAAACTGATAGTAGTAGATAGAATTTGTTGAAGGCCTACTTGTTGTCTTGTTTTTGCTAATTTTATTACGTAACTGATGACAACTTTTAACAGCTTCAACAATATTATCTATATTATCTGCTCAAGCTCATCCTATGTGTTCAAGGCAGACATTCACTTATCTTGTTCATATCTTATTTAAACTATAAGCTATGTGATTCTAGAAATTAATGAATATAAAACACTTGAAATATTTACACTTTCATTTGTTTCTCTAGAGGTAAATTTTACTACAAGTATAATCTATAGCTAGATATATACATCACCAAGATGAAAAGGCCAAGCAAACAGTGGACACTAAATAATTGATGAAGTTGATAGATATGTATAATTTAAATATTATATGCTTGTCTGTATTCATATATCATAATAATTATACCAATCTATCTCTATGTCCCTACAAATTTGATTTATTTTGAAATATTATCTAAGAAATTTGGAGCTAAAATGCTTGTGAGCTATAAGATTTATGACCAGTGATTAATAGATAAATCACCAAGGTGAAACTATCACTAAGCTTCACACTTCAGAGGAAGGTTACAGCAACCTTTAGCTTTTTTTTTTTTTTCCCTGAACAACCTGTGAAAATCAAATCACATCTTCTGTATTAAATCTGAATATTGTATTCAATTTATACCTCAGAGTTCCCAACTCAGTTTATGACAGTAATATTTTTTTTTCATTTAGGATAGCTTCCCTAATCATTAAGTGCCCTATTAGTGATTTGGTTAAAGAACACATGGATGGATTTTTCCATCACAATTGTGCAGCTAATCTATAATTTTCTAGATTGTTTCAAACTTAAATGACTGTAAAACTTTAACTATGAAATTTATAGGATTTACAAACTAAGTGGATTATCACTGATTCTTTTTTCTGCTTATAAAAATACTATCATTAAATCTGAAATTTAAAATAGGTTACTACTCTTATTCCAGTTACACCACTAAAGATAGAATTATTGTTAATAATTTAATAATACTATAATTAAAAGTTTCTTAAAATTGAATCATCTCTAAACACTTGATGTTACTAATATTATCATTATTGCATTGCTTCATCTTTAAATGAGGACCAGGATAATGAAACTAAATTGGAGCACACTAATTTTAGGAAATACCACCATTAAACATTGGGGCTCCAACCCCATTGGCACAGACTGATGGTGCTTTAAAGTTTGCTGAGTTTCCTTCTTGCTCAGGCACAGCACAATTAGAACACATTATCAAAGTAGGAACACAGCAGTAAGAGGCAAGGATGGGTCACAATTGCCTGTAATTACCCAAGCAAACTTCTCTCCCTAATGGCTCTTCTTCATTTAGAGTAATGTTGATGAGACTTGAGTGGGAATCTATAATGTTTATAAATTCAGTCAATTATATATATATATAGTAGGCTAGGATTCATATAGTTCAGTGAATGGCCAGAACTGCTGAGTTGATAGCTGTGCAAATACAGATAACATTGTGACTGAGAAGATGTGTTGCAACAGAATCTCCAGATACAATCTTTCTGCTTTTCTCAGCAAAGGTTAGGAAGGAATATAGTATTTTCAAGTATAGTTGGAAGGTCTAGAGAATGGCATTCGGCCACAGTGAATGAGGAGGTCTTGCATTATGTGATTTACCCTTCAAATGTAAATCCACAGTAAATTTTGTGTTATATTACATCTAACAAAGGGCACAATAGCCAATAGTTGTGAAGGAATCTATACAATTTTTCTCTTCTATTCATTATTTTGCAGTAATTTTCCTCTTGCCTTCTCCTAGATCTTTAGTTTTGTGACCACCAAAGCTCATGCCTTATGCTCTGGAAATTTTGCAGTCATTAATAAACATGAAACCAATTTCTCATGTTTTTCAGGATTTTGCTAGGTAGGGAACTTAACTTACTGGGTTGACCAACAAATTGCTTTTAGTGTTATCACTTAAAATGCAATGTGTACTTTTTAAAAGTAGGTCTTCCACATAGACTGAAGAGGTCTAGAAAAAACATGGACATAAAGTTAAAACTTCAATCCAATATTAATGTTTTAATGACTCAAAGCCAGTAATTTAATAATCAGTTCATGGTTCACCATATCTGATCACTATTTTAGGTGTTTTACAGAGTTTAATTATGTAATTCAATTACATAATTATGCTGGGTTCAATTGCACCCAAAGTAATAAAATTATAGTTTAACAATCACTTACTAGCAAAAATTGTAAATTATTGTTCCATATAGTATAACTCATTTAAAGAAGTAAATTTTGGTATTAGGTTATATTTATTTAGGGATAGCTCCGATCCAATTCTCATGACTAATGAGTGAACTGAGGTAGCATTTAGGTAAAAGTTGCCCAAAGTTGTACAGCTTGAATATGAAACCAGCATTTAGACCAAGGAATTCTAGCCCTAGAATTGATACCATAATATTGTTTTTCTACTGAGAACCTTTATTATCTAATCTATAAAATAGAGACCATAAATGCACTTATAGTGTTATTTTTCAAGGTGAAATAACCAAATGACAGTGCTTGGCTCTATGTCCAGATATGGCAGTCAGGTTTTATTAAATATTAGTTCTTTCTCTTCTTTTCCAAATAATGAGTTTGATGGGAAATTCTGAAGAGGAGGTTGCTTGGAGATGAAGATAAGGATTTCTTGTATACTGAATAGTTAGAAAGCACAGTTCCAAAGAGAAATTTTAAACTTAATGACGGAATTATTTTCAGACTTTGGTTTGTAGTATTCATTGACTACTAACAGAAATCCATTTTAACTGGGAACATCTTGGGTAAGATCTCAGAGTATGACCTACTTGATCAAATCTTCACATTAAAAGATGGTAGCTGCATTTGATCTAGCAATACCACTCTTGGGGATATACCCAAAAGACTGTGACACAGGTTACTCCAGAGGCACCTGCACATCCATGTTTATTGCGGCACTATTCACAATAGCCAAGTTATGGAAACAGCCAAGATGCCCCAGCACTGACGAATGGATTAAGAAAATGTGGTATCTATACACAATGGAATTTTATGCAGCCATGAAGAAGAACGAAATGTTATCATTCGCTGGTAAATGGATGGAATTGGAGAACATCATTCTGAGTGAGGTTAGCCTGGCCCAAAAGACCAAAAATCGTATGTTCTCCCTCATATGTGGACATTAGATCAGGGGAAAACACAACAAGGGGATTGGACTATGAGCACATGATAAAAGCGAGAGCACACAAGGAAGGGGTGAGGATAGGTAAGACACCTAAAAAACTAGCTAGCATTTGTTGCCCTTAACGCAGAGAAACTAAAGCAGATACCTTAAAGCAACTGAGGCCAATAGGAAAAGGGGACCAGGAACTAGAGAAAAGGTTAGATCAAAAAGAATTAACCTAGAAGGTAACACCCACGCACAGGAAATCAATGTGAGTCAATGCCCTGTATAGCTATCCTTATCTCAACCAGCAAAAACCCTTGTTCCTTCCTATTATTGCTTATACTCTCTCTACAACAAAATTAGAAATAAGGGCAAAATAGTTTCTGCTGGGTATTGAGGTGGGGGAGGGAGGGGGCGGAGTGGGTGGTAAGGGAGGGGGTGGGGGCAGGGGGGAGAAATGAACCAAGCCTTGTATGCACATATGAATAATAAAAGAAAAATAAAAAAAAAAAAAGAAAAGATGGTAGCTGTCAAATTCCACGCAAAAATATTTAAAATTTCTGTTCTTCAGGTGTTAGCATCCCAGCATTTGTAAATAGCTGGAAAGTACATAAAATAACAAGAACATTATTATGCACTAAGCTTGCCTGTAGGAAGGTTTTTCAAAAATGAAATTTCTTTTTATTTAAAGTTGTCATTAGGGTGGAGGTGTAGCTCAGTAGAAGAGTGAGTGCTTAGCATGTGTGAAGCTCTGGGTTTCATCCCCAACACCAAAAATAATAAAATAATCACAAAAATTACTTTTTACTATTATCTACTAGTAAAAATTGTTAATTTTTGTTCAATATAATATGCCTTATTAATAAAGAAAAGTTTTGGTTTCAGCTTCTATTTGTTTAGAATGGCTGCCCTGTGGGTATGCAAATTTTAGCAGTAGTGTCTTAAAACAAAAGGAGGAGAGGAAGTCAAGGTGCAGTTTTTCTTTTTCTAAAAAGTCTGTTCCAGCAGATTATTGCTCTAGGTGAACAACTAGCAAAATAATTTGGAGAGAAATTGTATGAGATTTGCATTAAACTTTCTCAAAAATCTACACAATTTATATAAGATAGTGATTATCATCCAAGTTCAATACTCATACACTTAAAATAAAATGTATACCATTAAAACAATTTTAATAGGATAGACATATATATAAACAGATATGTCAGACACTATGTGCTAATTCAGGGATAGTATGGATTTGTACAAAACATGTCTGTTCTTTGGAATTAGTTTAGAAATTCAATAGATAGTATCTACCTCTTAGATACTAAATCTAAGATACTACAGATAAAATATTAAAAGTTCTTAGAAATAAATAGCCAAAACCTTAAAAATTTTACATTTAAAAACTCATTACCTTACTGAAAAATTCATTTATTATTTATTTTTGTGTGACATGAGAAAGGATATGTTGCTATCAAAAGTGCACTTGTAGAACTGGAAACCAAACTCCTTAGTAAGGCAATTCTGATACTCACTTATTGGATGGAATATCAAGTGGACAGGCACAGGGCTGACAATCTTCAGAGGTTCCTTGGGTAGGGTCGCCATAGAAACCAGGAAGACATTTATTGCAATAAGGCCACCTGTGTGATCCTTACAGTTCTGAGGAAGAAACGCACATCAGAGTTTATTGTTTTGGTCTCAAGCAGCAATATGTTGCCAAAAATAGGTCTACAGAGTCATTAGTCTGTTCTCTGCCAGGAAGAGTAAGTTTTCCACATTAAATGGTCAATTTTACAGCAGCAAAATAGCATTGAAAGTTAATTTAGTATCTAGCTTATAAACTACATGCTAGTTTCATCATATATGCACTTGCCAAAAGATGATGAAAATTCATTATAAATTTTTTCATTATGCAAATTTTATTTCCTTTTTTGTTAAGGAAATGTGTGTGTGTGTGTGTGTGTGTGTGTGTGTGTGTGTGTCTGTACCTGTGTGGTCATAGAGCTCTAATGACATATGTTTAATGGGAATGTAGCTGACTCCAGGTAAAAATCAATTGTTCAGCTTATAACTGCTGATTTAATGAGAAGTATGGGCTAATCATACAAATCCCCTGGGAGTATGCTCTCTTAGCTCAGACATTAATTTAGAACTTAGTGGACTCTGATGATTTGGACAAGGCATTCGTGTATTACATCTGCGAAGAGCTTTCTTGAGTTATAATTAAATGTTGAGAAAATTGAAAGAATTTAGCCATATAGCAATATATAACAAAACCACAATACATATAACAATTTTCTTCAGATATTTTCAAAAGAACGCTGAAACTACATTTCGCGCCAATTAGTATTTTTTAAATCCATGTATTTTTCAAAATGAAAGACAAAATAAAATAATTTTGTCTGGATTTCTTCATGTTAATTAAAGTACATTTCTCAGCATGGGCTGTGATCATAAAACTCATCAAGACTGGCATAAAGGTGAACAATTCGGGTGATCAAGCAAGTGGAAACATCTGTAAAACTTCAATAGTATAATTTGATAATTTTATGATACTAAAGTATCACCTAGACATGATTTCAGTCTCCAATGATACAATGAATGGTATCTAATTCCTAGTAAAAAGATACAGTATAGATTCATTATTACTGAAATGTATTTTAATTTTAATACAAATATATAATTATACTTTTCTCAAATGCTAAAATAGAGTTAATCAGAACTTAGGGATATTCACCCTCTATTTTTATGATCAGTAACCAAATCCGAGAAAGAAACAGATAAAATATAATTTAACCATAAATAGAGTAAAAATTTATTTATTTATTTATTTATTCATTTTTCTTTTATTATTCATATGTGCATACAAGGATTGGTTCATTTCTCCCCACTAAAAATTTATTAAATTAAGCTAAAACAGAGAGTAAAAATTTATTAACCTGGATGACTATTCAAAAAGAGTAAGTTAATGAAAGCTCTGAATTATTATTTACTTCAATATGTTTTAAAATAAGAGTAATTTCAATTGGATTTAGTAAATGGACTTAACAAAATATAAATAAAGCTCCATTTTTAAACATTGCTTATTAGCGTTCCTTGGAGAAGTCAGATTTATTTTGAAATATAACCCAATCATTTAACTCTAACCTTCTCATTTGCATCCTGTGAAATACAAGAGTTACAAAAAAGTAATGTTTTCTATGTGTCTAGTTTTATGTTTTATTGAACTCAAAAACAATCTTAAAATTCAAGTATGTTTGTAAATAAAACTATAAAACAGCATTAGACAACCAAGATAGTGAAAAATCAAAATTGCAAAAAAGATGGAAGTGTCACTCTGAGAAGCTGATGATCTTACAGATAGGTATCTTGCTGTCTTTCTGTAAATGTGCCTTTCAAATATTTGTTCCCATCAAATGTCACAGGAACTACGAGAAGCATACAATCTTCCCGTGTGACTTTGAATATTTCTTGGGTTACTTCAAATGTAGTTTGAGTTTAATGAACTTTTTTGTTTGTTCTTTGGGTGGTATTGGGAGTTGAACTCAGGGCCTCATGCTTGTTAGGCAAGCAGACTACGTCTTGAGCTGCTCAATCTTTTTTGCTTTATTTGCTTTTTCAGATAGGCCTAGTGTTTTCGCTTGGCCCAGCATTGGATTGTGATCTTTCTACCTATACTTCCTCCACTTCACCCTCCACTACCAGGTTTCCCAGCTTGTTTTGATGAAATGAGGACTTACTAACCTTCTACCCCCACATGCAGTCTAGCCTTGAACCACAATCCTCTCAATCTCTACCTCCTTCGTAGCTGGGATTATAGGTATGTACCACCATACAAGGCTGCAAATGACTTTCTTAGACAGGTTCACATTAAAGAAGTTTGGATTTTGCTCTCATACCAAAAACATATTTCAGTTAATTTACAATCAGATTTCCAAGCCAAGCTAAATGAAAAATCATTTTATGTGTAAATTTCATAAATTATATTTACTGCTAGGAAAATACCCCCATGAATTTTAAACCAGGATGCTAACCTGGAAACTCAAATGAACAATTAGAAAGTAAGAATGCCCTTGATATGTGAAGGGGACACTGTTTCTCGCGCTCCCTCCCTTGCTGGAGTGAGGTTTTCTCTTTTGTTCTTTGGTTATTACTGGACCTAACTGGGCTTCACTGGGGGTGACTGGAGGTTTTAGAAGAGACACAGAATGGACAGACAGACAGTGGGGTTAGGTGTGTGAGATGCACGCTTATTGCTTCTTTTCTCTATCTTGATTCTTTAAGGCCTTACTCCTTGCAGTTCTTTAAAAGCGTGCTTCAAACCTCTTTGCTTAGGCTCCCACAGTTCTGTTTGCCTTTAAAGTCTCTTGCCCGCAGGCTTGCACTGTCCCATCTCTTTTCAGCTCTCTTAAAGCCCCTGTGCTCAAATCTGCAAACAGCCTGGCCTACAACCTGCACATGCATAACTCTTAAGGTCTCAGTCTTAGACTTGCACCATGCACTGTCCCATGCTCTCTTTGACTTTTCTTTAGCTTTAGTTTTCCAAAGTCCTGTGTATAAAGTTCTTTCTCAGATTTGCTTTCTGAAGCCTATGTTTAAGTTCTTGGTGCAGACTTTCTGTCAACCCCTCTTTAGCATTTTCCCTTCAACAATTCTTTTCCCGTCAGCAATTTTTCCCTTCAATAATTCTTTTTCCTTCCAAAAGCTTCCCATATCAAAAGGTCCAAAATAAAATAGTCAAAGGCAAAAAGCCCCCCAAAGCAAAAAGCCAAAAGCCAAGCAAAAAGTCCAAAAGCCCAAAAGCCCAAAGTAAAGCCCCAAAAGGCAAAAGAAACCCTCTTCTTCCTTCAGGGGTCTTTTATAGTGGCAAACAGGGGAGGGGTGTGACACTGCAACAGGAGAATCCTGTGTTCCTGCTTCTCTGAACACAACTTAGGAGTTGCAGCTGTTGTGTGTGCCCTTCCCTGTTTCCTGGCCAGGGGCAGTGCCTATCTCAGGCTACAGGTAAAAGCAATTAACTGCATCTCTTCTTGTTTGTGTCCAGTTCCCAATGACTTTAATCTGCTCCCCATAGATATGCAATTTTCAAATACCCAAATGTTTTTCTTCTGGTGAATCATCTCAGAATCAATATGGTCAAAATTGACTACTAGCACTTAGTTACCAATGTCATTTAAGAGAGAGGGCATGTGAACATCTCCAGAAAATGCTCCCCATGATCAACTACTTAAAGTCCATAGAATAGGAGAGTCTGCCTCCATCATCAAGACATCACTGTTTTCCCCAAATCCCTCTATTATATGAAGATGACTCTTACCTCTTTGTCATCTAAATAGTCAATAACTCAGCTTGCATTAGTAGAGTCCCTCAGATTTCACCACTCCCTTCTTTCTCTCAAAAGTATGCTGAAACTATTTCACTCTAAAACAAATGGTTTCCATTCTCCAAAATATTATATCACCAAAGGGACCAATTTGATTTTATCCTAATGAACTCAGCATAAGATTTTACCTTAGGGAATATTATGAATTTAATATTAAGGCATATTTATTTTTGTCTTTTTTAGGGTGAGTAAAGAAAATTCACATAATTATCAGCTGCACGTTTCCTATTGCACGTTAATAAAGTGTTTAAAGGTAATTCAATAATTTTCCCAAGGTACATTTTAAGAGACTATGGTATAACTAAAATGAGAATCACTTAGTCCTTCTATTCATACAAATGCCATTTGAAAAACCTACTGATCCACAAATTAAGGCTATCATGCTTTATACTGCAATGCAATTAAACAAAATCTTATACAGAGGAAACAGAAAATGCATCAATAAACCTAAATGCCAAATTACATTGAAACAAAAGCCCTGATTTTTCATTTTGGATTTTTCCCAGAAGCATTTAAGTAGAAGAGAAGGGTGGGGGGATGAGCAGGAGAAAGAGAGCATTAAGAATTAGATAACCAAGTCTGACTTAAATTCTGCAGGGAAATGAGAGTATGATATCCTCCTAAATTGGCACCATTTCAAATTGTGTTTCTGCAAGACTAATGAAATGAGAAGTGTTGTTTCAAGCTTCATGCCATGTCAGACAATATAAAACTAACATGCCCTTGAGTTAATCAGAATGGTCTATTCAGAGTAATTCGCCATTCCTAAGGATGGAAAGTGCTTTGCACTTAGTAGAGCTGATTTTCTGGGTAAAGGTATAGAATTAATTGTAGAAAGAGAAACCACTCTGGTGATTAAGTATTACATATATTTATTATATTTTAACTTATGCCTGACACCTTATATTTAGTTAAATACTGAAATTTTAAATAAAAAATATGCAGTATGTCCTCATTTTCAATGTGAAAAAGCAGCATTATACAAACTAAATTATGTCTATTACAAAGGTTACGTTTTACACGTGTCATATTATGGGGTTATAAATCATTTTCTGTTTTGAAGAACAGCCTACTTTTGGTAGATTTATAGGAGGCAGTGAAACCACATATATTCATGGTAGCTGTGTCTCCCAGTCATTAGTCATGCTTTAAAATGATGTATTGATCCTTGTTCCGTTCTTAGACTAATCTGAATAAACACTTTCTGGTACTTGGTAAGGAATTCACATATGAAACAGCATCCTAGGCATCTAACTCAATTCAATATAAAGATATTTGTCAAATCCCTTCTTCACTCCAGTGTTCAACGTTCCAAAGGTAGCAATTGAATTTCAGGGTTTGTAGCACTGATTCAGCCTTGCCAATCAGCCTCCCCTATAGAAAGCACTCACCAGGCATTCTCCACTGACATCATCACAGGATTCCGCATGACCAAAACATTGACATGGTTCACAGATGCCACCAAAAACAGTGCCATTAATTCTTCTGTGTCTAGGCCAACAAGACTGAAAGAAAGATAAGGTTTCAGTCAGTCTTCACTTGACATGGTTCACAGATGCCACCAAAAACAGTGCCATTAATTCTTCTGTGTCTAGGCCAACAAGACTGAAAGAAAGATAAGGTTTCAGTCAGTCTTCACTGTTAAAAAAAAAAAAAAGGGAGAGAGAGAGAAAAAGGTAGTTTCTTTTTTTTTCTAATAATAGAAAATAAAACTTAGGTAGCAAACTCAGCAAATGTGCTTGTCAAATTGTACCATTATTGAAACATTCCTACAGCACTATTACCCCTGACACTGGGGCTTTGTACTGACCTTAATGTTATTGGCAGGTATGAGATTAGAGGAAGCATTAGCTTGGTGTCTCTTCTGAAATGGTAAAATAAAGCACAGATATAAAGAACTGAAATGTGACAGTCTTGAAGTAAAAAGCACAGACAGGAAAATAGAAGGAAAAGTACTGGAAAAAAGCAGCTGGCAAAAAGGAATCTCAGAGAATCTTAGTTTAAGAGAGCTCCTGATGTCATCTCAAGCAATTTTGCTTGTCTGCAATGCCCTCCCTTCCCCACATTCTAACTGCCCTTAACTCCTTCACTTTCAGAAACTCTGAGATCATTAGGAAGACATACCTATTGTCCCCACCCCTGTGCAGCCCTCCTACATTTGACAGCATGCACAGCTCACTTCTATACATATATAATTCATACATTTCATTCTAAATTTCTTCCATCCTACTGTGCTTTCTCAGATTTACACAAAATAGCTTATGATCTATTTTGCATATATTCCCCAAATAGATAATTACATGGTATTATTCTACAATCACTTTGCTTCAATTCATAATTGCTTTTGTAAAATGTGAAATATGTTATGATATAAAAGCAGAATTCTGAATACACAGGATGGTCGGGACTTAGGCTACCTGTGTGCTAGTGTCTGCTCCAAGTCCACTGCCACCTCTAATTAAGTTTTCCTTCTCTGGGGATTTCTACCGACTGGATTGGATGTAAAATAATTGTGAGGCAAATATTGCTACCCTCTAGTACTCATGATCCCCTCTGGTTGAGATTGCATTTCATGGGTTATTTGCTATACTTCTGGATGGTTAAATACAACATCATATATCATAAAAAAGGCCTTTTTTAGTTGAAAATAGGAACCAGAGAGAAACCACTGAAGTAATAAAGTATATAGAACTGTGCTGTGTATTGTCAGACGCTCCTTCTGCCTCAGGATATGAGGACTCTTCAATTTAACATCAATAATAAACACGTAGAAAAAGGATGTGCAGATATTTCATATCTGGAAAGAAAATAAAATCAACTTTCCTCTTAATTTGAGCAGTACAAAAAAGAAAGTGTCAATTTTCTATCCCTTTCCAGTAGTCTTTCCCCATTAAAATTTTGTCTCCCTAGATTTGTTGTAGAAGTGATTTTCTTCTACTATATATATATATATATATTTAAACTGATGAAGCTACAGATCCAGAAGGAAATAAAATTGAAGTGTTTTGAGAACTGGGACAGAACTCATTTATTGTTTGCAGGGTAGATATTCATGAAGTTTTCCTTAATATGTATTTTTAATTTTAGTAAATAGACTCATATCATCAAATTTCTCTACTCTTTATACCTTTTTCTTAGCAGGAAATTTTTGCCTCATTAGACACAGAAAAAAGAAAGCCATCAAGTACCCTCTTTACACCTCCTGTTGGACACTAAGACAACAAGTAAAAACACTTATCTCAATACATCTTTGCCAATTCCCCTCCAGAACAACAGAGGGGGAATGCAGGGTCCTCCCTCCTCTGAAAGAAATACTCCACTTGTATTCTGTGATCCAGTATTGTTTGTCTTCTCAACACTCCCTCTCTCTGTTGCACTGGTAATATCTTTTCTATCGAGTCAGTAACATTGCCCTCAAAATATGATCTAGTGTATCCAGCAAAAATTAACAGAAATAAAAATGACAAATTCACTCTTAACATTGCATAACTCTTTCACCTGCTTTTCTTTTCAGGAATACTACTCTAAAATTCTTTTCTTTCTCAATTCCCTTTAATACTTCATTCTATGCTAATCTTCCTTATGCCAAGTCAATCAAAAATTCTATTGTCCTTTATATCAAATTCTAGGTAGCTAAATCCAATATTCAATTTCTACAACTGCATTTCATCTGAACTGTCATCATTTAGCCCAGTTGACACCTTTCTCTCTTAAATGCCTTCTTTTCTCAACCTCTATGACATCACATACCCCTTTCTCTTGTCTTCTCTGCTTTGACCTCCATTGTCAGGAGCCTCTCAGGGCTTAAGATGGGCTATTTTTCTTTTCTTTTCATTTTTTTTTTAAATCACATTCCCTCCTGGGTAACTTATTTATTCCCACAACCTGATGGCTTCCAAATAACATCTGACCAGACAGATAATGCTGAATTCATCACACCTGCATATTCTAACTAAATACTGACACATACTTCAATAGGTTTTCTAAACCTGATGGTTTTAGAATAGACTGTTGATTGTTCCCCACACCCCAATCTGTCTATCATCTCCCAATCTTCCCCACCTCAGTCAATAGCATAACATAACATCCAGTTGTCCATTTTTTCAAGCTAGTAATCTATGATCCATTCCTAAATTCTTTATTTCTTTCAAGTTTCCATTGGTGTACAGAGCATCAGCAAGTCCATTGATTGTACTACCTCTCTCTCTGTCTCTCTCCCTATCATATGTCTCTTAATAATATGCCCATGTATCCCTATAATTGCTGTCATTATCATAACACAAACCATTATAATTGCTGTGTTCTACCGTAATCACGTATTAACTGTTTTTCTTCATAACATTCATGCCTTCATACAGTATGTCTTTTGTTGTTTTATTTTGGAGATAGGGTCTTGCTGTGTAGCCCAGGCTGGCCTCAAACTCATAATTGTCCTGTCTCCCAATGTTGAGATTACAGGCATGTGTCATCATACCGGGGCATTATTCATACTATACTCATAATGACTTTTTCAAAAAGTAACTCAAATCATGGCATTACACTGTCACTACTTAAAGACCTCTATTGATTTTCTATGGCACTTAGAATAAAATCTCAAATTCTTATCATGCCTACAAACTCTTTGTGGCCTGGCTCCTCCAGTCACATATTGGGCCACTCATCTTCTTGCTTACTAGCTCCATCATACTTTCCTTCCTTCAGGTTCTTGCAGACTTCACCAGTGCTTTAACATAGCTGTGCCTGTCACGCTTCACAACTCAGCTCAAAGTCACCACCTCAGAAGGCCTTTCTTATCAAACTTTTTTGAAAAAAAGAAAATTTCAATCTTTGCACACTCACTCTCTTTCTACCTAATCTTTGTATACCTACCTTTGGTAGTTCCATCATGACAATCTGTATATTTCACCTACTTTTTAAGGAATCAGATCACTATTGTTCATCACATTTTTCTCCATGTCTAAGGTCTCAATTGTCTCAAACTACATGCTTACTAAATATTGTTATCTAAATGAAAGTACAAGAACTTCTATGAGGTGGCTAATATTAATTTCATCAAATAGAAGAGGAAAGAGATTTGCTCTGAAACACTTTCATTTTACTTTTATTACCCCACTTTGCCTTCACTTCCTCATCTGTCAAATAAATTGAATTATGAGAGTACTAGTAAAGTAAGAAAAAAAATTTAAAGATTAACTATAGAGCTCAGATGTCAAGTACAAATGAGAAAAGAAAAGATTTCTAGATCAACATTGTGGCCCCAAATGATAAAAAGGTGAGTGACTATAATGAGGCCATTTGATTTGCTTTTGTCTAGAGGTCCTTAATAAGCTATAATTAAGATGTAATGGTCTTGTAGTTTACTCAGCTTTTAAGGGATCCCACGATATTAGCGATAACACAACTAGAGTGACTGGCTGCATAAACTAAGCTCAATTAAAGAAGCAAAAAAAATCAGGAAAAGATAGGTCTGGATAATATTAAGTTCAGAGACAGGAAGTTCTGATAAAGAATAGAAGGGATTATTAGAGAGTAAAAGAATGAAGTCAGAAAGAAACTTCAGAGTTCCAAAATTCATTGTCCCAGGATTCAACTAAATTCTTTTGTGAATTTCAAAGTAATTTTAGTTATCAGTTCTTATGTGAAAAGTGCAGTAAGCTTATGTTCTCTTTTTTCTGCTTCTTTGTTCTATTTTCCACACTTGTCTGCTTCTCTCTTCCTATCTATCTATTATCATTTTTTAGTACCTCTGAGATATTTCCAAGACCTCTCTCGCCAGTGGAATCACTCACCCCTTTCAATGATTATTTCATTTACGTTCTATGCCACTTACTGGTCCCTTAATTATGAGTGCTATGACTCAGTTTTTCATAGCTATTTGTCTTGTTTCCCTGAACATAGTGTTAGCTCTTTAAGAACAGTGATTGTGCTGTATCCTTATTGGTAACTTATACAGACAAATTTATAGGATTTGTCAAATATGTACAGAATTCATCAAAAATATTTTGAAGAAGGGAAAAAAGACAAAGACATTCCTAATTAAACTATTCTAATTTTCAGATAATTTTATATTCAGTGGACATTTGGTACTTCTATAAAAGATGATGAAGGGGACTGAGGATAATGTGGGAATGTGGTCAAGTAAGGATAGAATTAAAGTATTTATTATTCTAATTGAAATAGAAATTTCAAGTTTCAAAGGGAGATGTCTGGTTTGAAATCAAAGCTGGAAGACTGTAACAAAAGACTATTTTATCAAATACAACATGAATTTTATATGTAAAATCAAATTTGGGTTGACATAGCACATTCATATGATTATTTTATCTTATCTATATGTATCACAAAAGCAAATACTTCAATGAATTACATTTAGTTTTATTTCTAGATAGGCAAACCTGAGCTCAGTTAAAGAAAACACATTTGTCATGAATGTGAATCTAAGCTCTGTGTATCCTCTGGAAGCACACATTATTTTAAAGTACAAGAGACCTGACAGAGCAGTGCCTAGAGTATTTCTACAAGCGGCATAATGAGGTAGTGTTCAGAAGTGGAACATCTTGGTACACTAAAGTGATTCCTTAAAAGTAGCATTTTAAAGAATTTAAGTTCTCATTTATCTGCAAGCCATTCCCTCTATCAGGGAAATGGTGTCTATTTTTTGAACCTGGTTTCAAATAAAATCAATTACATAGAGCTAAATAAAAACATCACCTTAAATGATAAACTGTAGTATTAAGAAACATTAATTTTATTAGAAATCCAGAATAATCAGACAACAATCAATACCGCAAATTTTAAATGCTAAACAAATCAAAGACTAGTAAGGAACTTTCTAGAACAGGTATTCCTTCCATTCATTGTGTTCCTTGATGTTCTAAAGATTGTAGATTTCAGATGGTTGGGACTTGAGTGTATTCTTAGGAATGAAGTGAAGGAAAAAGTGTGTTAGGATTAAACAAATGCATAAAAGTAAAAAAAAAACAGATGTTAAATTCTGGATAACCACTGAAATGGAAATATTTTGGAATATTATTTTGCTATCATCCAGTGTACATCTAACTAAATAGGTAATAAACACCTACAGAAACATCACATTTTGAGTTATAGTAAGGCAAAAGACCTCAAAAAGAAGTATAATTTCAAGAGAACATTCTAAAGTTAGTCCTCTATTTGAAAGCCACAACTTATTGGTAGACAATCAAGTTCTTTAAATAATGTGTTAGCACTTGTTTGTACAATTACCAGTGGAGAATTCGAAAACACTTCTTTTGAGAGCAATTTATTTATACTCTTTTTGTAGGAACTCACAATGCACTGAGGCTATATTCTTGCAAACTTACTTCACAAGAAGAGCCACTATACCCTGGTGGACAATGACAAACTTCCACAGCAGATGCAACACTTCCATCAGTAGGATAGGTGACAGCAGACTCGAGGTTAACAGAACTCAACCTAAGAAAAGGGGAAATGGATGGTAAATAAATAAATAAGCTCTTAGATATGATAGAGCTGGAGGAATAATACAACAACAGTGATGTACATATGAGCAATTTATCTCTGCTGACAAAGCCTGCTAATGAATATCCATAACTTGAAGCTCTGGTCATTCACTATGAAGTTAGCCCTTGCTATCCATGGACTTCACAACCATGGATTCAACCAACTATAAATTCAAAATATTAAAGAGAATCTGTACCAACTTTCCTTCCTTCTTCTTATTTCCTAAACAGTACAGTATTAATCTATACACATAGCATTCATATTTATAATGCAGACTCCAGCAATGATTCAAAGTATATGAAAAGACTTTGTATGTTATATGAAAATACTGCACCATTTTATAGAAGGATTTATCATCCACGCATTATGGTGTTCAGAATACATCCCCTGAGGATATTGAGTGATATTGAGGGATGATTGTATTAGGTAAAGTCTGCTTGGTTCCAAGAGCTAATAATCACCATCATCAAGATACTGAAGATATCTGAGATCATTTCTGCTCATTTCTTAGCTTAAAAAAAAAATCCTAGCTATGTGTCTTGATTTCCTCGTTTTTCTTTTTTGAAGATAGATGACAGACAGTTTAGCTAAAAATATTTTTCTGTTTTGAAGATAGATGACAGGTTGGCTAAAAGGATTTTTTTTCTTTATTCATTTATTCATATGTGCATATGTTGTTTGGGCCATTTCTCTCCCCTAACCCCGCCACCTCCCTACCCCCAAATCCCCCTCACTTCCGAGCAGAACCTGTTGTGCCCTTTTCTCCAATTTTGTTGAAGAGAAGATATACGCAATAATAAGAAAGACATAACATTTTTGCTAGTTGAGATAAGGATGGCTATACAGAGAGAATCCTAGCATTACTTCCATGCACAAGTGTATTACAACCGGAATTGATTCATCTCTACCAGACCTCTTCACTACTTCCTGGTTACCATCCCATATTGACCTCTGTCATTTTAAGGTTACTGTATTAGCTCCTCTGCAGTGGGCACATCAAACACTTTCGAGTTTTGGGTTTTCTACCTTTCCCTATTCCTCCTCTATGTGTCCTCCCCTTAGCGTGAGACCCAAGTCTAATAATAGTACTGCATTTGTTTTAGATCTAAAGTCTGCATATGAGGGAGAACATATGATTTTCGGCTTTCTGAGCTGGCTAACTTTGCTTAAAATGATGTTCTCTAGTTCCATCCATTTACTTGCAAATAATAAGATTTCATTCTTCTTCATGGCTGCATAGAATTCCATTGTGTATAAATACAACATTTTCTTAATCCATTCATCAGTAGTGGGGCATCTTGGCTGTTTCCATAACTTGGCTATTGTGAATAACACTGCAATAAACATGGGTCTGCAGGTGCCTGAGTTGCATTGTTTTGGGTGTATCCCCAGGAGTTGGATTGCTGGATCATATGGCAGATCTATGTTTAAATTTTTAAGAAGCCTCCATATTGTTTTCCAGAGTGGTTGTAGTAGCTTACATTCCCACCAGCAGTGTATAAGGGTTCCTTTTTCCCCCCATCCTCGCTAACATTTATTGTTGGTGGTGTTTTGATGATGGCTATTCTAACAGGGGTGAGGTGGAATCTTAGTGTGGTTTTGGTTTGCATTTCCTTTATGGCCAGAGATGGTGAGGATTTTTTCATGTGTTTTTTAGTCATTTGAATTTCTTCTTTTGAGAAAGTTCTGTTTAGTTCACTTGCTCATTTCTTTATCGGTTCATTGATTTTGGGGGAGTTTAGTTTTTTGAGCTCCCTACATATTCTGGTTATCAATCCTTTGTCTGATGTATAGCTGGCAAATATTTTCTCCCACTCTGTGGGTGGTCTCTTCAGTTTAGAGACCATTTCTTTTGTTGTACAGATAGCTGAAAGGATTTTTTTTAAAAAATATTCTCATGAATGTTTGATTTCTTTGAACATTAAACTAGAAACGCAGAGGAAGCACTATTAATCTAAGCTCTTAGATTTTAAATTAAAAACAAGTTGGAAGCAAATTTTTTCTTTTTCCCAGAGATAAACCTGCATGTTGGTAAAAGGTACAAGTAAAACTTTCTCAAGTGCTCTGTTAAATTAGTAAGAACTATTTTCTGAATTGCTTTTTGCCCTAAATTAAGTTATTGTTCTTTCTATGTATGGACTTCATTTGATTGGTACTTTTGTACCATCTAGTGAATATAGTAGAGTGATTTGTTATTGCTTATTATTTTAGAGAAAAGCTGGTTTAACCAAATTGAAAACTGTAATAATATACTGTTATATGGCACACAAAAATGAAATATAGATTTCCTTTGTTAATATGCACTCACAATTTAAGTAAATGTTATTGGCTTCTTTTTGGATTTGTAATACTCTTTATAAAAGAAAATATAAAAAATTTAATCATTAAGAACACAATCTCAGGAATCAAGTAGACCAAGATACATGTCCTGTTTCTAAAATTCACCAGCCTTATCACCTAGGAAAAAATTCTTTTGAAGTTTCAATTTTCTCATATATAAAAATGGAGAAAATACAATAACCTATATACTATGAGCTTGATTGAATGAAATAATAATTATAAAATTCTTGATATGATATATAACACAGAATAGGTGGTTATTAAATACTACACATTTTATTAACAGCCACGTTCAAAAGATTGGAATTTGACCTCCGCCCCCTCTGTGTAGAAAAATCAATTTAAAATGGACCAAAGTCCTAAATGTCAGACACAAAACTATGAAATTACTAGAAGAAAACAAAGGGGAAATACTTTAAGACATTGATATGAACAGTATGGAGATTTCTCAAAAAAAACCCTAAGAATAGATCTATAATATGATCTATCCATCCCACTTCTGGTTATATAGCCAAAGGATATAAATTAGCCTGAAAGTAAAGCCCACACAACCGTATCTACTGTGACACTATTCACAACAGACAAGGTAGGGAATCAACCTAGTTAAGATATAAAATCAACATAGGTATCCATGAATGAATGAATGATAAAGAAAATGTGGGTATATGTGCAATACTACTGAGTCATAAAGAATGAAATCCTATCATTTGCAGCAAAGAGGGTAAGATTGAAGGATATGTTAAGTGAACTAATCAGACACAGAAAGACAAACACTACACATTCTGGTTGATATGTGGAAGTTAAGAAAAAAAGGTTGAAGTGGAAGTAGTATAATGTTTAGTAGAGATTAGAAGGGTTGGAGGGAGGGTGGACAAAGGGAGACGGATTTAAACAGTTCACACTGTATACATGTATTAAAATATCACTCTAGGCCTGTTCATATGTACAATTACAAATGCTAATTAAACATTAAAATTAGTAAAAAAAAAAGAAAGCCTAATTGCCAGTTTAATGATACTAAGATGTGGACCTTTGGGATGTAATTAAGTCCTTAGGTCAGGGCCCTTTCTTGCCCTCTTTTCACCATGTAAGGATGCAATGAAAAGATGACAATCTGCAGCCATGTTGTCACCTTGACATTGACTTCTAGCCTCCAGAATGGTAAGAAATAAATGTCTACAAGCAAAAACAAACTGGTCAATCCAACAAACAAAAACCTAAATATCTGCTCTTGACTTATGTTACTAGTCCTAGCCATAAGGCTGGCTGTGAGTCCTCATTAAAAGAAAAAGGCTACAGATATGAAAAAATGAATTTATGGTTTTGATCAAAACCGGGAAGAGAGAAATTCTTAAGCTGTCTCTGCCTTGCTCACAGCAGTGCTACAACTTATAGAAAAGGTGAGACAAAGGCCAGGAAATGCACATACAGAGATTTAGCTGTTGTCCAGTTAGTGGAACTGGAGATCAGCCCTCTGGTGCCTGGGGCCAGAGGTCTGGCATGGGGCATTTCTTTCCCACTGTGGTATTTCCTATAGAGATACTAATTACTTGAGCCTGATTACAATAATAATATTTGTTTTCAAAATGATTGATTGATAGACCTTCATAACACATAATGTAGCATCTCTCAACCATATGAAAGTTTCAACCCACTCTTGCTGTGTCATGCATTTTGTATTTCTCTCTTGAATGATGGTAAAATTTTGTTAATCAGGTATTTACAAGGACCAAAAGTTTGTTGAATTTGGGAATCTGTGTATAATCAAGCCATACAGAAAAGTTACAAGGCTCACTACAAGTTTAGATGCATTTCAAAAGTGACAACCTTTACCAAAATTGGAAATGTTTCAAAAACAAGTTTCTAAAAAGTTTAATGCTTTTACCCAATTTTACTAATCCTAGATACTGGATTGAATTTTGTAATATATATGAATTCATATAAGGTCAAGTGCAGAAAAGCAAAGTAAACTGGAAATCTCAGAGAACAGCAGTTGGATGGAGTTGTCCGAAGTGCAGAGCGACAGCTCACTTTATCTTAAACTGAATGGAAACTCATCCAACACTAGTCCTAGAATACTATTTTTCTAGAGGTGTAGCTTGGACCTTGCTACAGAAGGTCCTAGACTGGGAGGCATTAAAAGACAGTGTTGTCAGTATTTTACATTATTGTGTCATTTGAAAATCGCCAAATGCATTTTCCCCTCATCAAGTAACCATGCATGGTAGGTAGCTGCAGTGCTGCATACATTTCTTTCTCATTTTTTTGGAGGAGGAAATTCACATAACAAAAATTAACCATTTTCAAGTATACAATTCTGTCATTTAGTACATTCACAAAGTTGCACAACTACCACCTCTACCTTGATCCAAGAAACTTTTTTTTTTTTCATTTTTCTTTTATTATTCATATGTGCATACAAGGCTTGGTTCATTTCTCCCCCCTGCCCCACCCCTCCCTTACCACCCACTCCACCCCCTCCCCTCCCCCCCCTCAATACCCAGCAGAAACTATTTTGCCCTTATCTCTAATTTTGTTGTAGAGAGAGTATAAGCAATAATAGGAAGGAACAAGGGTTTTGCTGGTTGAGATAAGGATAGCTATACAGGGCATTGA